AGATCGACGATTCACCGGACATTTCTTTTTTTTTTGTAAACAAGAACAGCAAAACAGAAACAACATTCTTGTGAACAGAGCAGCAAACAGAAAAGTAAACTTTTGCGACATTTTTCTAAGTTTTTAACTAGTTTTTCCACTCGACTACGATAAAAATGCAAAAAAAAAACCAGAAAATAATTTCCCACAAACAGGTATATAGGTAGATCTGGACTCATAAGATCTACCCCCACGTTATTGCAAAAAGCACCAAACAAATCAAGCACAAACAGGCATAAAACTCCTGAATTAAAAAAAGAAAGATTTCGAAATTTAGACGGTTTAGAAGATTTCGAGTTGCTCCAGGAGCTACCTCGGATTCGGCTTCACGGCGCTAGTGAATCGCAGAAAAAGGGCAAATCTTGGCACGCCCATGAATGCGCGTGAACTGACTGACACTTCCCCTTGTTCGAGCCTCGCCCTCAAAATGACACAGTGTGCCACCGGGCAGCCACTGTACGTACACCCTTTGTGTGCTCAAAACCTGGCGATCAGACTCCTAGGAAACGGGGAGCTCGAAGTAGAAAGTGCCAGCCTGTGGGATCTGGCTCCCAGCCGGGTGGCGCCGCTTGCGGTTGGCATGAGCACTAGCTCCCGGTGGGCATGCGGGGGAGAAAGCGAGAAAAAGAGTTGATGATCCCCGCCAGAGCAGCCAATTAATCGGCGGGGAAAGCGTCGCGCGCGAGACGTGCACAGCGGTGGAAAGTGATGGAAAGCCGCGAATTGGGCAGCGCCTACGCGTTGCCCCCTGCTATTTTAAAGGTGCCGGGAAGGCGGTGGTGTAGAGCACTTCGAGTTTGTGCTACAGTAGCCTTTAAAGAAATGCAGGTCCTTGTGCAATATCGGGGGGGGGGAGAACGAGCTTGCAAAAAGGGAAGAAATGCTTAGTAGCGTAATAGAGTCTTTTCATAGCGTTTTTAGTAAAATTGACTATATTTTACGCCGAAAATCCCATCAAGATTAACGTTAAGCCATTTTTAAAATCCCAAATTTTGCCCGAAAAGACGATATTTTGTATTTAAAAAAAATAAAAGCTCGTTTACCATTTTGCCTTTTGGAATAGGAAAAAACATTTTAGGAGCACTTGATAGAGAAAATTTTAAATTTATGAATTTATAATTTTATGGACAATACAAAAATATACATTTTCGACCACAATTTTCAAAGTTGAAAAATCTTTCTAGGTTTTCAAATAGTGCGCATTGCAAAAAGCAGCAAAACCTATAGCCAAAGGCAATGCAACACACTGAACGAGCATGAAAACATGAGCGTACATAGTTGGTCGAAGAGCACTAGCGGTCGGGAGAACAATGACAGGGATGGCAGGTTCATGCTCTGCCCCCCGAGTCGGTGTAGGTTTGACCTCACTCTCCCATAGCGGAGCAGCATGTAAACAAATATTTTTTCTGAAAAATGCCCTGTCATCCACGGCGGACTGACCTGGGGTATTTGACCCCATTGAAAGCGCAAGCACCGAAATTTGCATATCTGGACTTTGCGAAAAGAAACGTTGAAAGCTTTTTTTGGATTTTTTTTCGGCTGAAATTGGGTAACTTATAACTGGTATCGTATCTACGAGGTATCATAGAGTCAAGGTTCATAATTGTTATATAAAATTTATATAAGGTTCTATTGCATCATCGGGGGGGGGTTGTAGGTGGAAAATTTTTACTTGAGAATCCCATTTTTCAAAAGTTAATAGCGAAAGTGTTTCTGAGCTATTTGTTACCACTATTCCTAAACCTCAAAATGGTACAAATTTATATCACAAAAAACATCGTTTTTCAACCTAAATTGGCCGAATTTGGCAACAGAATTGTGACTTATGATTTTTAAAAAGCTTTTTAGATAGTTTTTCTAATTGAAATATAGTTGTATTCACTGAAAACACTTATAAAGACCTTCGCTAATTGCTAGAAATTTTCTAATAAAACAAAAAAGTGGCAAATGAATGTTGCGACGCCATGAAACTCCCCAGAAAAAAGCACAGTTCAGGCAGCCGTTTGGCAGGGCGGCGTGACAGATCCCAAAATTGAACGCTTCCTTGGAGGGGATTGAACCCGGCACCGATCCCCTGGCAACGCCCGTCAATTTTCGGATCGGGATCACCGCGCGGATACAGCTGAGGTGGGCAACCAGAGTACAGGGCAGCAGTCAGAACCTCGAACCGGTCAGAAGCCCCCGCCGCCGCCCCTGGGGCTCGAACCCATTCATCGGATCGTCGTGCTCCCATCTCAAAAGCCTGGAATCACAAATAGCCCGTTTTTTGTGGCGGCGCCGCCCTCCCGCTGCAAAGAGTTCCGGGGTCAAGCCGGCCGCTTGGCCGGACATTGCGCGTTTCAAAAAAAACAGGCACCACATTATGCGATCGGGTTGAATAATAGCCTCCTCCCCCTGCGACGGGGCCATACAGCCAGACACCCCCCCGCGGATTGATGGCCGTTCAACTGGAAATCCGAGGGATCGTGGGCGCGGAGGGTTCTACAAATCGCGGTCCTGGTCTGTTAGCGGGGGAGGGGGTTAGTAAGTATTTTCATAATGTTTTTAGTCAAATATAAGTATATTTTAGCTAGAAAAACTACCTAAAAACTTCAAAATTTAAAAAAAAATCGAAATTTTGGTCAAAAACCGGCCATTTTGCTCGAAAAATCTATATTTTTTGTAGTTTTTTAATAAAAATTTGTAAAGTTTTCACGTTTAGGAATAGTAAAGAACAGTTTAGAAACACTTCCGCAATTTATATTTAAAAATTGGTTCGTAAGAAAAAAAATGTGTGAAAAAAAACGTGAAAATTGTGCGCACCGCCACTTTTCCCCCAAAAATAAGTTCCGCATCACCCCCAACAGCCGGTGTTCGGCAGGGGAAATCAGTAAAATAGCTGCGCCACCGACGAACTTGGCGACCCTTGCAAAAAACGGCAGCATGATGCTAATCAAGCAGTGATAGGCAACAACCGCGCATACTTCAGGATTGATTCAAGAGGGCAACTTTTGGTTTTCGCAAAAAGAGAAGAATTCTCGTGGCAACAAAAAGAGCTAAATTCCTTTCAAACTCTTAAAAATGCCACAAAATGCGGGAACAACAAAAAATTGCTGGCTATTTAAAATCTTAATAAACTCGGTACCATCCCAGATCACAGGTCAGGTCCACAGATTAATTTCAAGAAAGTGCAAATAGATCATAATACAGAAATTATTTGCAAGCCGAAACCGCTAGAAACTGGATCTGTCCATTTTAATAAGGTGCCAGCAACTTTTGGTTGATCCCACATTTTGTGGCATTTTTAAGAGTTTGAAAGGAATTTAGCTCTTTTTGTTGCCACGAGAATTCTTCTCTTTTTGCGAAAACCAAAAGCCCTTTTTTGAAAAGACTCTTTTTAGCCTTAGAGAGAATTTAGCCCTTTTTGCCTCAACCTTATTGTTAAGATCGTAAAATAAGCCAAGGAATACTTATTCAGATGAACCCTTGTACGCAAAACTTCAAAAAAATTTGCCTGCGGCGCTTTGTAACGGCACTAGAAACCATAAGGTTGCACGGGGGCCAATCGGCAAAAACCGTGTTTTGGGTGGGGTTCGAACTCGGGAGCCAAGTCTTCCCAGTACAGCGTGCTAACCACTAGGCCAACGGGGAGACTGGAGGCCTGTCTTGGTGAAGCTAGACCCGCCCGCCCTGCTCGGGACTGGGCCGCCAAAGGGGAGGGTGGCGCCCCGTATGGCGAAGGTTTAATGTAATAATATCTCAGAGAAGAAGCATTCTTTCGATGCAATTTCTTCTTTACTTTTTCCGGCAAGGTCTAATGCCTATTTGAGCAAAATTTCAGCCCAAACGGACAACACTATCCCTTGTTTTGGCCGCAATTTGGCTTTTAAACTTAAAAATTAAATAAAAAATTTTTAAAAGCCTATTTTGAAAAAAACTCTTCTTGCGGTCCGAAATTATCATTCACCCAATAACTGTGCAAAATTTCAGCCCAAACGGATGGTGGGAAGGCACTTTTTGACGACTACAAAGGTTTTGTGGCATACATACATACAAACGCAGACCCCCCCCCCTCGAAACGCAATTTAAATCGGCCGTTAAAATTCGAAATTTCACTTTTCTTCAAATTTTAAAAGCTTATAGTATGCAAAAAGTGTCGCCGGTTCCGATGGTGTATTCAGTTTGGCGATCCGATGCATCGTTCTTTTTTAAAACCGGAAAAGGACCCCAAAAGAGTCGTATGGGGGGGTACCTCAAACCAAAAGGGGTTAGCGGGCTACGCCCGCTAACCCCGAATTACAGCGCTGCCCACGTTAATGAACGCCTAAAACCCGAAAATCTCCGAAAAGCCGCGCAGAAATGAGGTGGCGTTGAGGGAAAGTGAAAAAAAATTCCGCCTCATTGCGTGATCCCGCTGTGCGGGCAGAGGTATCGATAAGGGCTGACTGGAAGACAAGAGTCGAGCCCGATCCGCATAGTAACAGGCAGTATATGCACGCGCGCGGAACTGGCTCCTAAAAATGCCATTCGGCGGCTACTATGGGAAAACAAGGGCGAGGATATGATGGTGTTCCATGAGGAAGCGCTATCGTTGCTGGCAAGCGATGACTAAAAAGACGCTCTAGAAAAAGCGAAGCTTCTCGTTTATCGGGGGAGGGTCATAAGTTATAATTAGATGTCAAGCTAACTGACGTCGTAGTAGCAATTGTAGTAGTAGTAAGTAGAAGTAGTAAGAAGCCTTTTGAATTGAACAGAAAACCTTATTTGAATAGGAAATTAAAATCCGGAACCCCTAAACTATTTGCAAATCACAATGGAATAAAACCCGATCGTCCCGACGTTAAAACACTCGCCTGCTGCAGCACTACGATGGCGGGAGATGCCCGCGCCGAGCGCAAGGACAAAGTGAGTCATTCTTCATTTCCTCACACTTCATGGTCATTTCCAGATCAAAAAATGGCTGCAGACGGTGATCGACCGGCTGACGAAGGACTGGAAGCCGGTGCTGTGCCAGTCGCTGTTCACCGAGACCGAGCTGATCGAGCTGTGCTACCGAGCCCGGGAGACGTTCTGGTCCCAGAAATGTCTGATCGAGGTTGGCACCTGATTTTATAAACTGTTAGACCTGACCACCAAATATTGAACTTCCTGGTGACCGCGGAACCCGCCAACGCGGAAGCGCCGATGGGCTCAAATTTAGGTGAATGCCCCGGTGAACATTTGCGGCGACGTGCACGGCCAGTTCGAAGACCTGCTCGCGTTGTTCGCGCTCAACGGCTTCCCGCCCGACAAGCACTACCTCTTCCTTGGCGACTACGTCGATCGGGGCCCGTACTCGTTGGAGGTGATGGTGCTGCTCTTTGCCTACAAGGTTTGTGAGAGACTCGGTTTCTGGGCGCCTTTCAAGCTCTTTATTTTCAGCTAAAGGCTTTACATCCTAAAAAAAGGCTGGCTCTCAATCGTTAGAGAAATTATCTTGGAAAACCTGATCCTACTATATATAAAAAAATAGTGTCTGTGTGTGTGTGTATATTTGCATGCACTTCCGTTTGGATGTTCCGCACCTACAGCCTCAGGGAAGCATTTTTTCGGTAAGGAGGAAACGTCATGGGGTAAAGAAGGGTCCGGAATCGACTGCACACACATAAAAGTTTTGAAAAATTGCTATTTTCGATATTAAAATTAGGTTTCTGTAAAGTTTTCGGCCAATCTCTTTGTTAGGAAGCAATTAGCATACGGCGGAAGTGGAAATGGTTTATTAAAAGGAAGATAGGGCGCCCTTTTCATTTTTGGTGAGCGGTTCTCGGCAAGAATTATGCAAAATCAATAACTTCATCGATCCTAGACGGGGCCAGGGTTGAAAAGCCGCGAAGCGGTTTTTCAACCCTGGTTTTTGTTTAAAAGTGTAATTCGGGCTTGTTTTGGCATATTATAATACTTTTTACCGTTATCTTCCTGCTTCCAGGTACTCTACCCGAAAGAGGTGACGCTCCTGCGCGGAAATCACGAGTCACGCCCGGTGAATATGCAGTACGGCTTCTACCTTGAAGTCAAAAAGAGGTGACGCCTCACTTGCCAAAATAAGGTACCATTCTTTCAGATACTCGGTGAACCTCTACGAGTGCTTCCAGTACGCCTTCTACTGCATGCCCTTCTGCGCGCTCGTCGACAAGCGCATCCTTTGCATGCATGGCGGCATCTCCGAAGAGCTCCAGGATTTTAATCAGGTAATCCAATCATCATTAGTCAAGAAAGTCTAAACGAAACCTCACCATTTTGGAATTTTTGACCTTTTGTGGTCCTTCCATACATTTTTTCTTATAAAAATGTCGACGCATCGAGTATTTTTAACGCTTGTATATCTAAAAAACCGGGTAGGGTTTATAATAAATGGTCAAAACTTCGTTTTAGAGGGCCGTACGGTATGATTAGAGAAAAAAATCGGTTCCCCGGCTAAACCGGAAGCGCGTTCATGGTTTCTACGCCCTGAAAACGAACGATCAAACCTCAACTTCAGCTGGAAAGATCGAGCGGCCATGCGATATCCCGGATCTGGGCATCATTGCCGACCTGACATGGGCCGATCCGGAGCCGACGATCCAGGGCTACGAAGAGTCGCCCCGCGGCGCTGCTCGCATCTTTGGCGCGCAGGCCTTGAAGACGTTCTGCCAGACGCACGGCATCGACCTCGTCGTTCGCGCGCACCAGGTGAGTGAAACGCGCTGACGAATTCAACGTAATCCGCCTCTTCTAGGTCGTCCAGGATGGGTACGAATTCTTTGCTGACCGGCATCTCGTCACCATCTTCTCCGCTCCATATTATTGTGGCCAGTTCGACAACGCCGCCTGCGTGCTCAGCGTCTCCAAAGACTTGGTGCTGCTGCTCTTTAGTACCCTCAATACGCGAACTAACTTTCAGGAGATCGCCTTCTCGATCCATCGCCCCAACCCGAAGGGAGCTGCGAAGGGCTGAAACCGATGCAAAGAAACGGCGCCGATTAACGATAATTTCGATCGAATACCAATTTACAACCATGCCCGAATAAATGTTTTTTTTCGCTCGTCGTTGTTTATGCTGCTCGAATGTGGAGACAAAACGCTTTGCAGAATGAAATGCCTCAGTGCAGGATAGGAACAAAGACTTTTATTTTGCGCATCAATTATTAGAAATCTTCAAGCGAGTTCGCCGTTAATGACATCGTCACACGTTCCCAACGAGCGCCACTATGCCCATTTATACCGTGACGGCGAACCATCAACAACACATCTGAAATTAATTCGGAAACAAAAGCCGGTTGGGCGGTTCTACAGTTTTAAACGGTATTTTCCGGCTTCCTTGAGAATCCCTCGTTATGCTCGAAAGCTCGAGCGCTTCAATTTTACAAGTTGCCGGTAGCCTATATAATGGGAGAGCGGGAGCGCTTTTCATTTTTTGACATAAGAATTTAGGGAAATTCTACAGATTGAAGAATATCATGGGGCTAAACGGGCTAGCGTTGAAAAGTCGCGAAGCGAAGGGTTTATGCCTGCATCCATGTCCCCCCCCCACGCGCTAATCGGGAAATAGCGAAATATGTAACTCTTGTATAAGCCAAATGAGTAATGAATATTTTTAAACGGTTGTTCCCGTGTTTATTATCGGGAATTACAGGGTGGCCAGAAAAAAAAGTGCCTGGTTTGCCCTGAAATATCTCGCTAGGGGAAACGAATCGGACCATCGTTACCTTGCCAGAATGCTTAAATATGCTGGGTATGAAGAATAAACACAAGCTGTTTTTTATGATTTTTGACTCGTTAAGAATTTTTGAACATTTTTGAAAAAATAGAAAACTTTGAAGCGATAAAGTATGCAACTTTTGAAGAGCTATAGTAAAGTGTAGGGTATCAAAATGAAGCTCTGGATGCGCTATCTATTCAGTGGTGAAGAATATCGATCCGTTTAACTAGCCGTGAATAGGAGCGTTCGGAAAATCGGGACTTTTCTAGAAGGGGCGATTCCCCGTTGACCAGCAAAAAGTCCATTGTTGCCATAACATTTTGTACTTGTTACATGTAATCCTGGTTGTCCAGCTAACCATGTTATAACTTGAACTATAGGAGCGTAGAAATTACAAATTCCGTCGAATTGGCAAAGTGCCAACAAATTTTTTGATCGGGATTTTGAAAATCTTGATGCCAAAAGTTAGCAGATATCTATTTATTGTTAACTGCAAAATATCAGAAATATCGGATGGTAAAGAAATCTGATCTGGAATTATTCCTTCAAAAAGTGCCGATTTTCCGAATTCTCCTATTGACGGCTAGTTAAACCGATCGATAATCTATACCACTGATTTGATAGCGCATTCCAAGAGCTTCATTTTGATACTTTACATGTCCCCCTAACTCATCAAAAGTTCCATGATTTTCCGCTTCCAAGTTTTCTATTTTTTCAAAATTGTTCAAAATTTTTTAACGGTCGTCAAAAATCGCAAAAATCAACTTGTGTTAAATCTTCATATGGAGCATATTTAAGCATTCTGGCAAGGTAACGATGGTCCGATTCGTTTCCCCTAGCGAGATATTTGAGTGCAAACCAGTATAAGATTTTGGTGATAAAACTTTTAGAAATCGAATGGTTTGGGCTCGGATCCTCGGGAAAACTAAAATACTGACCTCTGTTTGGAGTTGAGCACTGGAAGAACATCGTGTCCATTTCGGGGCCAAAGTCCTACACAAAAGATGGTTGGTTAATATTTAGAAGAAGTCGAAGAAGACCGCTGGCGGCCCTTTCCGCTGGACCCGTCTGGGAACCACGCATTTAAGCCATTCCTTTCACCAAGCCTGCGACACGGGAGCGCGAGGAAGGGAACGAATTTTGGCCTGCGGCTCTAGTCACTAACAATCGGCTTTGACATAACGCGCAGAAAGAGTAGAATACGTAGTTTGACGAAAGCACCAAAAGCAAAAAAAGTTCGGTTTCTGTATAAAAAATCGGCTGTACACAAACGAAGCAAACGTTACACACAAACATTTTCAGGATATTAATTCATTTTTCACCCCTGACCCCCAGGGTGGGCACAAAAAAGATCCGAGTTTGGGTCAAAATATCTCGCGAATGGAAACGAATCGGAGCATCGTTACCTTGCCAGAATGCTGAAATATGCTGGGCATAAATATATATATATATATAAACACGTTGTTTTTTAAGATTTTTGACTCGTTAAAAAGTTTTGAACATTTTTGAAAAAGTAAAAAACGAAAGATAATAAAACTTTTAATGAGTTAGGGGGACAGGGTATCAAAATGAAGCTCTCAGAATGCGCTATCAAACCCATGTTAAAGAATATCTATCGCTTTAACTAGCGTCAATAGGAGCGTTCGGAACATCCGGGCTTTTTGGAGAAATAATTCCAGAAAAAATTTATTTACCACCGGATTTGTCTGAAGTTTTGCAGTTGGCAATAAATAGATAACTACTAACTTTTGGCCTCAGGATTTCCAAAATCCCGATTAAAATTTTTTTGGCACTCTGCCAAGTCGGCAGAAACTGCAAGTTTTGCCTTAATACGGTCAAAATTGTAGCATGATTATCTTTGGCAAACAGCATTACATTGAATAAATACAAAAAGTTACGAGAACAAGGTGCTTTCGATGGTCAACGCGGAATCGCCCTTTCTCGAAAAATCGGGATTTTTCGAACGTTCCTATTGACGGCTCGCTAAACCGATCTATATTCATTACCATTTGGTTTGATAGCGCATTCTGAGAGCTTCATTTTGATACCCTTCATTTCCCCCTAACTCATTACAAGTTCCATGATTTTCCTCCTCGAAGTTTTCTACTTTTTCAAAGCTGTTCAAAAATTTTGAACGAGTTTCAATCCCGACGATTTCATCACTGACCTTTGCGACCTCCTTCCGGAAGAGGGATTGAATGCGTAGGGCAGCGGTTGAATCGTTTCTGACGACTTTCCACGCCTGGATCGCCGCCGCCAGAATCTGCAATTTGATACGATTCTTGCATGTTCCTATAGAATGTCTCTCATTTTGGCTTAGCTTTCCGCGGAAGTAAGTGTCTCCATTAGAAACGCATAGGAATGGGGGCAGCCCCCGAAATCCGGCGGGCCCGAAAAAAACGTAAGGATCCCCCTTATGTTTTTTCATTTTGAAATTTTTTTGCCTGCGGCGCTGCTATTTTAGCAACACTTTCGTCTGCGGCGCTCAAATTTCCACAAATTTTTCTTGGATTTTTCTTAAATGGCTGCCGACGGCATGTGTCGATCCCCCATCAATAAATTGGCAAATAGCCAACAGGGCAGAGAGCGCGCCCTGGGGAGAGGCGCAGAGACATTTTCTTTCCAGCACGTAACCGATTGACTATGCCGTCGGCATCCATTAAAATAAGCTGCGTATTTGCTTTGTGGCAGGCCGTCAGCCTGTCATGATTAGCAATCACATAACGTTACCTTATGTTGTGGTTGATCTTTAGGCCAGTCACAATATTGAGAGCTGACAGTACACATCTTTCCATCCGACAACCCGATTCGACTCTCCAGCATTTCCTGAACAGAATTTCATTATTTCACGACTTTTACTACATGAAAAAAGGGTGAGACTGGAGGGAACATGCAGAGACTAGCCTTAAGAACTGTATGGCGTTTGACAATCAACTGTACCTTGACAGCACGAGTCATATCACGATTTGTTTGTGCCTGCCAGATCAGTACTCGCTTTGCCCAGGGCTCAAAAAGCTTCTCTCGGCTGTCGCGGATGAGTTCATCCTGCTGGAAATGAGTAAATGATCAACTTTACACGGGTTATCATTGGCTGATAATGGGTTAACAGGGAACGGTCAAATAGGTGTGCCTGGAACCCAGGGATATGTGATCACATGGACGCACTCACGCACTCACGTGAGTGCCCATCTTGTAGAGCTCGACGAGCTGACAAGGAGACGCTTTTAGGTGCAAACGAAGTTTCGGGACGAAACCTAGCTCATTCGTAAGCGCTTGCAAAACTGGGCAACACGCTGCATTTTTGCTAAACGATCGCGACCAGGGTGCCTCAGAAAAAGGTCACACTGTTAAAAGAGCAGCTTGTATCGGAGCGGGCTGAAAATTTGCAAAGGCCTGCGCAAGGCAATTCAAAATGCTCATGGAGAAATCCAGATCCAGAATGCAGAAGTTTTTTTAAATATTGTAAGAAAAAAGAAAAGGTAAATTTTCGGCTCCGTACCGATAAGAGGGATTTTTGCCGCTATAAGGGATTACCGCCGATAAAGGGGGAGTTAAGTTAAGCAGTTCAGCCTGGAAGCTAGTCAGCCATCAAAAAAAGGTTTTTCGAGCCCTTAGTTAATAAAACTAACATTCTAAGCCAAGCCAAGGTTGGCCCCCCCGTTAATTCACCCAAAAAATCTAGCGGACCAGTAAATAGTAGAGTACCTGATCAAGCAGATCCCACGACAGTGAGATGGCGAGGCCATCCGCCTAGAATTTGACAAATGAGGCATATTGGCAAGCATGATCGCATGATCATTTCATTATGTGCACATCCGCAAATTCCGAAATGAATATCGGTATTATGACGAATTGGCTTATGGCAACATTGCAAGCCGTAAACCCACGCGGCGAACGTTGAAAACGTCTGGACGACAGTTGATAAATTGGACAACTTTTGGAAAGGCATCCCAGCAATAGAAATCAACGGCGAACTCTCCGATCGCTCCAACAGCCCCCAACACTCCCGCCAGCTAAAAACAATTGCTATCAACGCTGAAAAGCAAGACATCAAGTGATACCGATGTGAAGAGATCGAGCCTGAGAAAGTGGTCACCAAAACACTCGCCTGTACATGAGATCTTTTTTCATATTTTATCCAGTCGTCTGGTGTGCGGAAACCAGCGGCCCTCCGCTGAAAAATCCCCAGTCAAAATTCCACCGCATAAAGGCCCGTAAAAAAAAGAAATAAAGGGACGTGGGCAACCCACAGCTCGTTCCCTCGCGTATCTTTCCCGGTAGTACGGTGTCCAGTCGGCCTCCTGAAAATTGAAATTTAACCAGATGGTTACAGTCGGTTCGCGACTGCAACCATCTGGCCTTCGGGCTACCCTTCATGTAATAGACCATCAAATACCCCAAAAAAATAATAATGTAAAAATGTAATACAGGGTGGGCCAGAAAAAAGCCCCTAGCACCGAAATATCCCACGAACGGAAGCGAATCGGACCATCGTTACCGGGTCAGAATGCTTAAATCACTCCTACTAATGATATTTTAGAAATTCAGTCTCCGCTAATCGTAGTGCGAAAGAACTGGTTAACCTACCAAAAATTCAAAACACGTTATATTATTACTAACCTGGATTAAATTAAATTATTACTAAACCTGGACCCATCGGAAAAAGCCTTATCCCCTCGAATACTCAAGAACCCTTTATTATTATAAAGTGCCTCACCGGCGCGTATTTCGACGTGATATCGAATTCCAATACACGCACCGCCATTTTTCGGGAGAACATTCGTATTAATGGCTTCAAATATCCATCACTCTTCATGCGGTATCGTCTGGAAATCGCCGTCGACACATCGTAAGCGTGAAAAGTTACCGCATGCTACGTTTGAACTTTGCTATCTGCTCAGTGCAATCAAAACAGGAAAAGTCGAGCCTGGAAGGAAAGTTTCTGTGTTGGCCGTGTTCAAGTAAAGCAACTCCTGACCGTTGACTTCCATTTCAAATAGGACACATACATTTCACCGTATAAATGATAAAGCTTCTTCTTCGGATAAGCGGCACAGAACGCAGCACCGCCACGGCTCCTCACCGCTATTTTTGCGTTTGGAAATCCCATCTGAAGAGGGACAATCGTTTCTTTTTCATTATCGGGGACGGGGGAAGGAGTGGGTTTAGTAAATTTCCTACCATATCAGGGTTGTATTTAATTCCGGGTCCGTGTATTGTATTTTCGCATCAGGAGACCAGAACAGAACGATTGCAAAAAAAGAGCAAAAAAATTCGGTTGCTAAAAGGGGGCTGGAATTGAACTCGGATCGTTCGCCTTGAGGCTGTCCCCAGTGCCACTTAGGCGGTCCATCACGGGTTCAATCCACTCCCGGTTCAATTTCACGTCAAAAAGGTATTTTGCTTGGCTCCCTTCGGGGTTAACGGGCGTAGCCCGCTAACCCGTTTTGGTTTGAGTTTGCAATTGAATTCGGTTCATTCCTCGGTCCTCTGATTACCAAAATACAGTGTTTATTATGATTTGGAGCTTTTTCAGTTGGTTTTAGAAATCTCATTTTTTCGATTTAATGGGTATGTCGCCGTGTTGAAAAATAGATCATTCGAGATTCGAATTTAATCACGCATCTTTTAAGGGTATTTGCAGAGTGGCGACGGATACCCATTAAATAGAAAATGGGGAAAACTGGTCAATGTACGCGATATTGCCATGTTCCGTACATTTTCATGCTTAACAATGTATTACAAAAATGATTTGCAAGCAATTCGGTGGAGTAGTTCTTGAGTAAATTTTCCGGGTTTCCAACTTTAAAACTTTAAAACACATTTACACCTAAAAATTAAACTTTTTAAAATCTTCAAATAGCGCAATCCCACGAATTCAACAAGGCTCTTTCATATACTCTTTCAGCTGTCATAAAAACGGGGTCGAAAAACGGTGACAAGGCATCATTGAGGCTGTTCGTGTGCCCGGCGGATGTCCCTTTAACAGCGTGACCTTTTTTGGGACATCCTGTATACTAGGATTTCAACTAGCAAAACTATCGAAAGACTTTAAAATGTTTGAAAATGCCGAAATCTTCGTAAAATTTTTTAATGTCTTTACGCTTAGTAAAAGAGTAGTAAAAACAGTTTAAAAACAATTATGCCTTTTTTAAATTGGATCCTAAGACAAATGCCTCCCCGATAATGCGAAAGCATCTCGAGAAGTCTAGACGTACTTGGCGCTCGATTTACCTGATCCGATTCGCCAGGTATAAAGAACCCTCTGATGTCGAGAACATCAATTCGACCCGGCAACAGCCCTCTCCTGTTAACGCGACGGCTTAAAAGAAGTAAGTCAGCAAGCAGGGCATCTTTTTCATCAAAATCACAGAAAAACTGTACCGTAACCACTTAGTGGTGCGGTGTAGGGTGATTAATTCATCGGGATCCAAATGGTCGAGGACCAACCCGACTAAAGAAGAGGGCAGGTAGTTCATTTATCTAAATTGTTCAATTAATAGCTCATCCGTTGAATAGAATAGTCTAGGTTTGCGGTGCGGGTAACAATAGCGTTGCGTGGCAATGCAGATGCAAATTGTAAGAACCACAGGGCGCAGATGTGAAGTTTTCCCATGTTCAAAACAGCCCGATATGGCGGGACAAGCGACAATTAAAGGGCGGTCCGCGGGTCACCCAAACAAGGCTTGGCACAGTTTTGATTTCTTGATGTGATCTGATAGGGCATGGTCGCATTAGAGGAATTACAGGAATTTCGGATTTTAGAATCACGCTTTCCTGGTCAAACAGCGCGTTAAAGTTTTCGGCTTGGGGTTTCGATTTTTCTGCATCGATTGATGTATCATTTAGGTTGCGGCCAGGTCGCCGTTTTTTTCAAAAAAAGCTTTTGTACAGGAAAGTTTACTAAAAATCTGACCGATTCTTGAAATTTGGGTGTGAAAAAGTGGAGCAGTCACAACATATCAGGAAAACAAGTCAAGTCGATTACAAAAAAGAGCAAAAAGATATTCGGTCTCTGTGCCGGGGCTGCAAATGCACCAGCGCCAGTATTGGATTAGGCACGGCCCTTACAAGCGTACCAGAGCGTACAAGGTCAAGGTGGCGTTTCGTTATGGGACCCAGCCTACTTTGTGTGGAATTTTCCGCTGCTTCCGAAACTGATTTCAATTTTGCCAAATAGCCCATTTAAAAAGAGAGTCCGCGGGAAGTCATCTGTCACGATACCCAACTTTTTTTATTTTAATAGGGCAGTCGATTTTTAATGGCCTATCTTGTAGAGAATTTTTTTCTGATTAGATTGTTATATTTCATTAGTGCGCTACTACCTATCGACGAACACTTACGGGGCGTGAAATAGGCTGTTTTTCACCATTTCCCATACAACAAAACCGAGTCAATTTTCAACAATTTTGAGTTAAATAGCTCATTTGATAGAGAAATTTTATTTTGAATACGATGACGATATTCGTTTTTGAGCAACCAGACGGGAAAGGTAAGATAAATGACTTTGAAGTTCGAAAACTTGGGAAAATGGGACTTTGAAACGCTATAACTTTTTATATAAATTTCTAATGTCCGTCCGCCCGCCGACCGACCGACCGGAATTCAGCCAAATTTTACATTCAAATTCCAAATTCAAATTTTTTTTTGGGGAGAAGGCCAGCGCTGAACCCCCGCGTAGCGGAGGTCAGCGCTGGTAACTATTTAAATTGGGCTATAGCAAAAAATGAAAGCGCATTCGGAATCAGCAAAAAATTCTGCACAAAATAAGTTGGGTCCCATAACGAAACGCCACCTTGACCGTAGGTGGTTCCTTTGTTAGCCGTGGCGGCACCGGGCTCCCAGGCGGAAGGTCTCGGTTAGTTCCTGCCGGAAACAATCACCCTCTCAAAGGCCGAATTTTTTTGCTAATTTCTCGAGTTAGCTCGGCTCGATCTGTAAATGCTATCTCGTGTGCCAAAACTTAAAAAATAACCTTTCCATTTTCGTCAGATTTTTGTAAAATTTTCAACTACAAAAAGTCTTTTTTTAGAAAACGGCGGTGGCCGACACGTAAATCAATCGATACAGAAACATTTTGCGCCTTTTCTAGCCTGGTTTCATGTGGCGGCGGACTCACCGTTAATTCGAAAGATGGGATCAAAGAATAGGCGTCGAAAAATTGTCCCAAGCTATAATTCCGGCTGTTCGAAGGACTCGCGGATGGCCTTCTAACAAGGAGTCGCTTTTAGGTGCTTTTGGAATTTCTGGACGGGACCTAGCAAGTTCGATAGAGAAAAAGATTCTGAGCAACATGCCATTTTCAAAAAGAGCTGATCGATAAAGGTGTTTTAGAAAATTGAATTTAATTAAAAATGTTCCCGGTATCGGCACCCTTGTGGTGATTTGAGGTGAGTAACCCTTTAACCCTTTAAGTAACGGGGTGGCATTAGGCTTATCCTTGGGCTTCGGGTTAGGCTTAGGCCTAGGCGTAGGTCTAGGCTTAGGCCTGCGCTTAGCTTACAAGGAGTCGCTTTGAGGTGCTTTTGGAGTTTCGGGACGGGACCTAGCTAGTTCGATAGAGAAAAAAATTCTGAACACCATACAATTTTCAAAAAGTGCTAATCGATAAAGGAATTTTAGAAAATTTAATTTAAAGTTCGCGCTTTTTTTCTAGTTTTCGGGTCCATTTCCTCGGTTCACGTCGTTAAGGGGGCTGAGCAAGGCGCCATTCATAAAATCCCGCCAAGGCCTCCATCACAGGTTGCATTGACGTATTGGTAGCGCGGTTGCCTACCAACTTTTTAACATTTTTTTTGCCTCGGGTTCGAATCTTCGCGCTGGCTAACCGTTTGCTTTTTGGTTGTTGAACCCGTGATCGGTGCATAAAATTTTAATTAGCAAAAAAGCAAAGAGTTAACGATAAATTAGAATCGAACTCGTGGCAAGAGGCCAAAAAAATTCGTAGGCCAACGCACTAGCCACTTGGCCATGCCTGGACGGGATCCAGGACGCGTGAAGTGCCCATGTGTAGTGTTGGGCAATTTGCCAGGTCCGGTTTTGGCCGGAAATTCGGGTGTGAAACCGGGCCGGCCGCCTCGGCCCGAAAACCGGGTCAACCCGGTTTTACTATGCAAGGTAAAATGAACATCATTTTCGAGCAGTTGGCACAACTCGGCGCCAAACGGCTCGCAACTCATTCGGGGGTCGTTTGGTAGCATTCCTTCGAGGTTGTTGAACACGGCGGACGATTTTTTTCTAGCCGCGCTAGCAGCGTAAGGAAGCTTGATAGAATTGCGTTAAGCCGTTGAGAAGGTAGCATTTTGAACGCTCTTTCCAACGGTATAACTGCCGTTCTCCAAAATCGTCGGGTGACAGAGAGGGGAGCGTTTTAGTGCCGAAAGGTGTACTTGTCGAAGTTGTCGCCGCGCTAAAACCATCAGATCTCGATTTGCACTGCGAATCCTGGATCCCGAAAGGCACCACTCGAAAGAGCGCGAAAAGTTCTATCTGCCCAGCGAGTTTTAGCTCTGGAGCAGCTTTGCCAGGATGCTAGCGCGGTTAGAAAAAAACGCCTCGAAAGCGTCCGCCGTGTTCAACAACCTCGAAGAAATGCTACCAAACGACCCCCAAATGAGTTGCAATCGAATTGGCGCCGAGTTGTGCCAACTGCTCGAAAATGATGTTCATCTCCTGATTGATTGATGATTCCAGAGCACCCCTCTCTCGGCCGGAGTGCTTTCTTTCCCACCCCGGGGTGCTTTTTGGGGGCACCCCGGAGTGGTTTTGAAAGCACCCCGGGGTGCTTTTTTAGAGCACCCCGGGGTGAAAATAAAAGCACCCCGGGGTGCTCTCTTTGGGGTGCTGTCCAACACTAGTCCGGATACCGGGAACGTTTTTAATTAAATTAAATTTCCTAAAACACCTTTATCGATCAGCACTTTTTGAAAACGGGATGTTGTCTAGAATTTTTTTTCTCAACCGAACTAGCTAGGTCCCGTCCTGAAACCCCAAAAGCACCTAAAAACGACTCCTTCTAAGTAGGGCCAGCGCGGACCCACCGCTACGCGCGGGTTCAGCGCTGGCCCTCCTTCCCCCCCAATTTGAATTTTGAATTTGAATGCAAAATTTGGCTGAATTCCCGGTCGGGCGGACGGACGGACATTAGAAATTTATATTTAAGTAGGAAGTAGGATAGGATACCTTCAAGCTCCTGTTTTTTGACCACGAATCGTGGATGACACGCCCTTGGGAACCAAAGAAACTACAACTTTAATGAATCAGTCCTCCCGAAACCGAAGTCGAACCCCTCCAAATGTCCCCAAACCTAGTAAAAGCCCCCCAAAAAAAAAATACAAATTTTCACGCTTTCATTGTCATTTTTTGTTATGATTTTTGATAATTTTCCGGACCTGGCAGGGTCGAATTGACCCAGAGTCGCTAGGCTCTAACTAACTCCTTTCCCCTGAGTTGAATCCGACTTCAGACAGACAAACCACAGAAAATTTTTATCGCTGATTGATGATGATTTCTGCGACTGCTGGTATGTAGCCTCGGTACTCTGATGCCCACGGCAGGATATTGTTGACAGCCTTGCTCACTGCCATTAAAATAAAAAAAAGTTCGTCTTCGACGCTAATTCAACCATACGTCCGCAGGCACAAAATTCCCAACTGATTGCGTTGCTTTACTTTGCTAGCCCCTTGCATTGATCTCCGAATCAACGGTTTGCTTTTTCCGGTTGACTTATCCGTCGGTTTTATAATCAGCGATGAGATGTCGGCGGTGCATTACAAAGTATAGAAGAATCTTATAAGTTTTATTATTACAATTAATTACAATTACTTAGGTAAAACTGATTACGGCATTTTAAAAACAGTTGTCACTTCTACTGCGCGCCCCCGCGAATCAGTGGGTTTGAGGGCTAAAAACCCGCACGTGATTTTTGGTCATAATAGCGAGGGATTTTCCGAAAAAAAAACAAATTACGCCGTTCGTGGACAGTTGGACGTGTAGAGGTGTACTGCGTACTGATTTTCCGGGTCCATGACGTTCTCGCCGTTCACGTTTTTTCCGAAATTCCGCCAACGGCAAAAATGCTTGTAAAATGCTCTGTTTCATACACAGTGAAATGGATTCTACCGGATGGCAGCCGGGAAAAATGGGGAAAAGGAAAAATGCCGGGGCATCTGGCAGAATCCCGGCTGCCGGCTGTTCGACCTGGCGAAAAGCTGGCGGCCGGGATCTTGCCAACTTGCTGCCGGGTCTGCCGGGATCCTGCCGGATTTGATCGGCGAATAAGCGGCAGGACGCAGGCACAAAAACCGGCAAAAGCTATTCGTGAAGACTCGATATGTGCCGGCAGAAAACCGGCCGCGGGGTTTTCGCCGCCTGGCAGCCGGGTTCCTGCCGGATGGCGGCCGGCCGCTGCGACCCGGCAAGAAACCGGCGATTTCCCGGATGCCACCCGGCAAGATACCGGTCTTCACACTGTGATACTTGCGCGATATGATGCCCAAACAGCCCTCCCACATCCTAATTTGTTCTCTAGGCTTAGGCATAGGCTTAGGGTTAGGCTTAGAGTCTTTACTTATTTGATTTAATTGATTAGTACCGAAAACGGGAGTCAGCGCAGGGTTTTCAGATGAATGGGTTTGTAGCCTTTTATAGTTGTAAAATCGTAGAGTCGGTGATTCTGTTTGTTCATAGATTTTCGCGCGCAGATATTTTTTAGTATCGAAGAAGGGGTACAACTTTGTTTCACAGAGAATTCTAGCCATTCGGCGATTCTTAGATGTTTTTGGTATCAACTCTTTTCGCAATTCCAGACTGCAAGCACGATGGCCGATAAGATGGAGACGGAAATCGATGTCAAGAAGGTGACGAGGGCTGCCGTGGATGACGTCGAATTCGAGGAGTTCCCCGTGCTCGACTGGCCAGGGAAGGGCGGGCCACAAATTGTGGTCGTCGGTGCACAGGTATCTTTCGAGTTACGTTGACTTTATAATGCTCTAATTTAGAGCTCCGGAAAAAGCTCTGTGATAGCAGCAATCGTTGGCCGAGATTTTCTTCCGCGCGGGACAGGGATAGTTACAAGACGGCCGCTTCATCTCCAGCTTTGCCATGTCCCTCTCGACGATGCGGCGAGTCGGCAGGGACAGCTGGGTGAAGAAAAATTTCGGGGTTTTTAATGCTCTTTTAGGTGATTGGGCCCGTTTCGACCACACCGGAGATCGCACCTTCGAAGACTTCGAATTAGTGCGAAAAGAGATAGAGGAGGAAACCGACCGTCTTACGGGTAGCAATACGGTATGTTTCTCATTTCCCGCTAATTGTCGTTTTTCAGGAAATATTAGCTACACCGATATCCCTGAGGATTTACTCACATCGTGTGGTTAACATGAGGCTCGTGGATCTGCCGGGTATGACAAAAGTTCCCGTCGGGGGACAACCTACGAATATTGAGGTTAGAATCAAAAAATTTCATATATTTATGTATTTAGGAGCGAATCCGTGCGCTGATACTCCCCTACATTACGAATTCGAACTCGATCATCCTCGCTGTGATACCTGCAAATCAAGATTTCGTCTCTTCGGAGGCGTTGAAGATGGCGCGTGAAGTAGATAGTGAAGGTAGACGGCTTTTCCATGCTCTAGTATGACTGTGTTTAGGGGAGAGAACATTGGTAGTACTCACGAAGCTCGATTTGATGGATCACGGGACGAATGCGCTCGATGTGTTGACTCGCCAGTTGGTTCACGTGAAGCTCGGCATCATTGGAGTCGTCAATCGATCCCAGGTTTGTTTAGCTCCTTATTTTGGACGAGAACAACACTCGGTTTTATTAATTCGTTCCTTCAGGCTGACATCGAAGCTCAAAAGCCACTCGAAGATGTGTTACGCGACGAAGAGTCATTGCTCGCTCGCGAGTACCCAACGCTTGCTTCAAGACAAGGAACCCGCTATTTGTCTCAGACAATCGTTGGGCTTGTTGGTAATATTTTCATTTTTTTTCTACTCTTGATTTTTTCAAGATTTTAAGCCAGAAATTTCATTAAAATTCTCCAAACAGTTGTTAAAAGTTTGTGCCCATCCAATTACGCCATGTAAATCGTTAGGCACATTTTCCTACATAATAATTGTTGGTTAGCTCAAATTTAGCGACTTTTCGTCGAAATTTGAAGGAATTTGGTAACAGCTAGCATGTCAATTTGAAGGCTTTGTGGCTATTTTTGCAAATTAAAAATTAGTTGAAGAGTTCTAAGATTAAGAATTATATGAAAAATACACAAATTTACAGAATTACTGTATCTAAGACTTTTTTGAAATTTGAGTTTGACTATCAGTTTTGCAGCGTTTTTTTTACCTTAGGAGCTAACGTCAACAATTTTGAAATATGAGAAATTATCCGGAACAATACGAAAATTTGTGGAATTATTGTATATATAATTCTTTCAGGATCGACTTCCCGTCAAACACTCATCCCTCCAAACATTGCTGAAGAAGAAAAGTGAGCTTTTCATGATGTTTTCCTCAAAGAACCTCTGCTAGCTTGCCTGGCGGCTTCCAAATATCCTCTGCTAGATGCCCTCCCTACGCCCCCCGATTCCTAAATGGGCTCTGCAGCCCTGCTCATTTTTCGGAGTCTATAGTCATTTCTTCGGTTTCAAAGAATCTTTGCTAGATTGCCTCGTGAATATCTACGGCAATGATCTAAATCGCGTAATGCGTTTTGGCTTTCTGGTGAAAACTTCAAAAATTTGGAAGTTTTTTAATTTACGAAAACGGTTTAAAATGTTATAAAATGGTTTATATTTTTGTTATAGAGCCTACTGTTTGCAGCTGTACAAGCGTCTCGTATCCACAACGGTATGGCGATCTTTTCTCTTTGTCAATTTTTCTTTAGGTCTTCCACGAGCATTTTTTTTCTTTGCCGACGATTGTCCTCAGCAATCCGCCGTTCCACCTGACACCCATGGATTTGGGCATGATCGGCAACCAGCTGAAATTCGGGTATGACCTGCAAGTTTCGTTCCTGGACTGTTAGCGGGGGGGTGCGAACCAAATTTTTGCTTTAATCTATATTATGTTTCTATAATTTTAGTTTTTCCCTATACAAAATATAAACCATTTTTATAGCCTTTTACATAGTTTTTAGATAAAAAAATAATAAAAATGTTCGAGCATTATTGACTTTTTGGTCAAAAATTTTTCCTTTTCCTTTAGAAATTTCAATATATTTTTGGCGGCACGTTTAAAATGTGAAATTGTAGTTGTAAATCGATATGTTTGCATTATTTTAATATTAATTAATTAATTTTGTCTATTTATTAAATTAAATTAATAAATTGGATAGAAATCAGTTTTATAGTGTTTCACACACTTTTTAGACCCAAAAAATTGTAAAAATATCGGGAATTTTGGTCCAAATGTATGAACAAACAAAACAATAGCCAAAAAAGGTTAGAATTTTCCAAAAAAAAAATTATGATTCAAAAACATCCGCGAGATTCGAGCATATTTCATGTGTTTTTTTCAGCCACTACGGCAAAGACCGACTTATGGCGGATCTTCGAGCGATGACCACCACCTGCGTCACCTACAACCCGGGCGCACTGATGACTGAAGCCGCAAAGCAACTCGACAGCTTCGTTCAAGAACATTGGGAGCACATAGCTTCTAAGAAGGTTGTCATTGGAACTGTCCGGTCTTGACCCATTTTTCAGGATTTCATTTCATTCATTATCAGGGGGGAGTTTATCAGGCTGGTAAAGGCATTTTTTGTGTTGATCTAAAAATGCCTATTAACTTAATAGGCTTATTTTCCTAATCTATTAGTAAAATAACACTATACGTGAACTACAAAAACTATCTAAAAACTTTGAAAAATTTTTCAAAAACGCGAAATTTTGGCCCTTTTTTATCGAAAAATCTATATTTTTTGTATTGTTAAACAAAATTTCGTAAGGTTTTTACATTTAGGGATAGTAAAAGCACTTTCGCTACTTACGTTTGAAAAAGTTATTCCTAAGAAAAAAATGGTATTTTGAAGATAAACCTCCGACAAACTCCCCCCCGATAATGCGAAAGAACCCATTTTTCCAGGCACCCCGAATTTTTGCACAAATGGATTGGAGGCAGATTCGAGATGTTGGAAAAAAAGTCCGCTTCACCCAGAGCTGCGCCAAGGTAAGATTTTATCTCTGAATATAGTTTGATTTTTTTAGAAACATGGCCCCGGGCAGCTGCACCTCGTTGCCCATTTCCCGGAAGAACACACGTCTTTGGAGATGGCCCTTACGGTATACGGATCAGCGCTATTGTGAAACCCTTTTAGGACAATGGCGTTATTTTTAATTACTGCACTTGTGAGGTTGAAGCGAATTGGGAAGCCAAAGTTGCCCCTATGAAGCCGATCCACGAGCAGATCACCACCGGCAAATACCCACTCGGTAGGGCGGTTTTTCTTGGAAATAATAACCACCCCTAGGCGAAGAAGTCGAATATTACATCCCGGGAAAAGACGAGCGCAAGGCCAGCGATCGCATCTCCAATGAGGAAAAGAAGGCTATGGATGCCAGCTTAGAGGAGATGTGGCAGGTAAATTCGATTAGCTTGCTTGTCAATTTTACACCGAGGACTATCGCCGTGCGGCCGAGGCTCATCGTCAAGTACGCAAATACGTCAAGTCATGGGTGAAGCCCGGGATGAGAATGATCGACATTTGGTATGAGATTTCAATATGCTGCCGGATCAAAATGAGATTAAGCTCGCATCTCGAAGCCACTTCGCGGCGGCTAATCGGCGAAATGGGACTTGAAGCTGGACTGGCTTTTCCCACCGGCTGCTCGCTGAATGAATGTGCTGCATATTACACCCCGAATGCGGGCGACGAGACTGTGTTGCAGTACGGTGACATTTGCAAGGTAATTGTCACCTCCTTACCAATTTCGTTTTGATTTAGATCGACTACGGTATCCATGTACGCGGCCGTCTCATCGATTCGGCCTTTACCCTCCATTTTGACCCGAAGTTTGATCCATTGGTAACTTTTCTTTGTTTTTATCTGATTTACCCCTTTTAGGCCAACGCCGTCAAAGAGGCCACGAATGCCGGTATTCGTGAGGCTGGAATTGATGTGCGTCTCTGTGACATTGGAGAAGTGATCGAAGAGGTTAGGCGATCCAATTTCCGCATATATAATTTTTAGGTCATGACCTCGCATGAAGTCGAGCTCGACGGTCGCACGTACACTGTCAAGCCGATCCGCAATTTGAACGGACACTCGATCGGACAGTACAGGTAGAATGCAGACTAGTTTAGTAAGGGATTATTAAATGCTTCGTTGACTATTTAATTTTTTATCTTTTAGGATTCACGCCGGAAAGTCGGTGCCTATTGTCAAGGGTGGTGAGGAGCAAACGAAGATGGAGGAGAATGAGGTCGTTTTGCCTGTATTTCTCTGTATTCTGGAGTTTAGGTGTATGCCATTGAAACGTTCGGATCAACCGGCAAGGGCTATGTTAACAGGGCTGGAGCAGGAAAGATGGAGTGCTCGCACTACATGAAGAACTTTGACAGCGCTAAGCAGAAAATGCCCTTGCGGTAAATTGGATTTTATATTTTTGATTCTTTCGCATTCGCTAAGCAACTTTCCCTTGGAACCCAATTTTGCAAATATAAATGCGGAAAGTATTTTGAACTGGTTTTTTGCTATTATAAAAGTGAAAACTTTTCAAGTTTTAATTAAACAATATCGATAGATTTGTTTATTAAACAGTATCAATAGATTTATTAAACAATATGGATTAAACAAGTATCGATTTTTGACGAAAATTTCGGCTTTTGTAAACTTTTTTTGTTAATGTTTTGAATAGTTTCTCTAGCTGAAAAAAATAGTACGAAAAATACTAAGCAATAATTTCTAATACTAGACGTTTCTAGAGATAAAAAAGTTCGAACCTCTCTCACCCGACAATGCAAAAGAGCCCTCATTTTAAATTATTTTTCCAGAGCCATTGAGCTGCTCGACACGATCGACAACCATTTTGGGCACCTCCAGTTCTGCCGACGGTAAATTTTCGCTATATAATTTATCGAATTTCGACCTTAGGTGGCTCGACCGTGTCGGGGAGGTGCAGTACGGGACTGCTTTGAAGGCGTTGTGCGATAAGGTGAGAGCTTGGCAGCTTTTTAGTTACATGATCTTTACAGGGAATCGTCGACGCCTACCCGCCCCTCTGCGACGTCAAGGGCTCGTACACCGCCCAGTGGGAGCATACAATTCTGATGCGTCCCACTTGCAAGGAGGTCGTCTCTCGCGGCGAAGACTATTGATCATCACGGCTAAGACCGCCTCAATCCCTTGTTATTTGTTTAGAGGTTGTTAGTTATGCCCATTATTTTCTTTTACCGTTCGTTGTGCCCCCGTTACCGATATCCTAAAATGTTTTCCCCGTGACCCTTCCGCTGTGCCCTACTACCCCGGTAGCCAATGCTCTCATTTTGCCTAGTGGGCTGAAGCGTATACGGATTTGCTCGATTGCTTTTTCATATGCAAAGCGAGATAAATGTGGGTGTTGGCGTCAGCGAATGTTATCATACACCGAATTACACGGGCACACCAAATAGCTTTGGAATTTTAGGACGTTAGGAGACGAATGGAGGTTCTCCGGAGTTCGGAGCCACCGACGCTCAAGCTGGCTCGCTATCCCGACCGGCTTGAGCTCTGGTCGACACGTGTAATTCGAGATAAGAGGCTCCGGATTCGGCGCCTTATTACATTTTGTTCGCAGATCGTCAATTTGCTCGGGTTTTTGGAACGCAGTTTTCAGTCGAAACAAATTTTCAAAACGAGACCCTGGCGACGAACTAAAAATCATGACCCTTATCGACCTCACCGCCACTTTACCTCTCTTTTGACGATTGTTTTCGAGGGGGAATTCGCGTGTCGCATGGTGCCCAATCTCTGTTTGTCCTTTGGCAATCACCCGGGCCGTTCCTCCGTAAATTCGGTGGAATTGCCCCACCACAAACAGGGCATTTTGTGGGTGGGCGGGTGGAGTATGGCGCGCGCTGACCGCGAATTTCATATTCCAGAGGCAGCGGCGGAGGCGAGAAGCAAACGGTGCCCCTCCCTGGTTCGCGGCTGAATGGACACCGAGGAAGTTGAGCCAGGTGATCTATCGATTTGGGTTTGGTGCCAATTTTATTCGGCCAATCGTCTACCTATTTTAATAAATTTTATTTTATTTTATTTGTGCTCTTGAATCCTCGATTTTTTAGACATATAAAGAGAGCACGTATATTCTTCTTAGAATCATTCTTTGCTACTACTGAGCATCAAAAAGCTTAAAAATGTAATTGGAAATTTTATTTTGAGCCTAAAAAATCCGTTTCTCGACCGAAAATCGCCCAGATTTTAAAACATTTTTCGAAATGTAAGGCCTCAAATCTAGCTGTATTTAATTTAAAACAATGCACACCCTTATTTGGCTTGATTTAATAACCTGAGCCCCTGACAATAAGATACTTAAAACCTGATTTTTTAGATGCGGGTAGAAAGCGTGGATATGGCACAATCAGCGGCGCCATGGCCATCGAGGACCCAGAGCCGACGGTTTGTGAAAGTTCGATTCATTCTCAACAAAAATTGCCTTTAGAGCTGCATGCCAATGCTGCGGGCATGGCCGAAGAGCACCTTCCTAATCATCGTCAATGAATTTTGCGAGCGCTTTTCGTATTATGGGATGAGATGTGGGTTTCTGGAGCTCTTTCGGGGCCTTCTTTTGAAACTTCATCGCTTGGGGCTTGCTAAAATACCTAAAATTACCATTAATCTTTGCTATCTGCCTCCTTCCAGCCGTGCTAACCCTCTACCTGATCAACATCCTCAAATATTCGGCCAACACGGCCACGATACTTTACCACAGCTTCAACGTGCTATGCTACGGGTCGCCGATGATTGGCTCGATTATAGCTGATGGATATATTGGCAAATTTTGGTGGGTACAGCTTATTAAGGTTATATAGATTATAAATTGCACAAAAGGTCTTATATTCTCTATTTTCAGGACCATTTTCTTCATCTCAATCTTTTATGCTTGCGGCCAAATCGCACTCGCCGTGGCATCAACTTTTGGGCCGACCTCCTCACTACATCCGTGAGTTTCAATGGTATTATTGAAATGCATGGACCGTTTTTACGATTTTCTAAACGTAAAAATTACAAATTTTGCCTAAAAATACAAAATCATAGAAATTTTTCGAACAAAAAGACCTGATTTTTGACCAAAGTTTGAACTAAATTTTTTTATAAGTTTTTTATTGTCTATCCACTTCAAATAGAGTTTACTTCTACTAAGAATACTATTACAAATGACCTTACTAGGTATTTCAGGACGTCTAGGCGAAAAGTAGCCCCCCGTTATGGCGAAAGCACCTTAGTAACTGTAAATCATAGAATATAGCCCCGAAAAATAGGCAGTTTAAATGATTGAAAATATTTCCAACTCACACATTTCAGATGGCTCGATCTGCTCGGGCTTTTCGTGATCGGTATGGGCACCGGCGGGATCAAGCCTTGCGTCTCAGCGTTTGGTGGTGATCAATTCAAGGTCCGCTAATCCTCTGTTTCAAGGGAAACTAGGAAATCTAACCTTTAGCAACACTACCTGCTCATGATCTCAATCTACTTTTCCGTGTTCTACTTCACGATCAATGCCGGCTCGACGATCTCGTCGTTCATCTCGCCGATTATGCGATGTGGGTATTTTTTGTACTAATTTTTATTTTTCTATCTGTGCGTATTTGTTATTAATGAATAGTGTATTTTCAAAACAATTTGAATTTCAATGAATACTATTTTGTGTATTTAGTGGTTTTTGATTGCTAGCAAATTATAAAAAAAATTGGAGTTTCAAAATTTTTACTTTTTTTGGCAATTTTTCATAAGGTTCTATTTTTGATGCGCTTTTCAGCTCAAGGCTGTTTCATTGCTATAAAATGGTTTGTATTTTATTATAGTGTCATACAGGATTAACGGGAAAATTAGTTTGACCCCTGACAGTCCAGTACTCAAATTTTCAGCCCAGCCCTGCCTCGGCCATGACAGCTGTTACCCGCTGTCCTTCGGAATCCCGGCAATTTTGATGATTGTGGCTGTCGGTAAGTTGTTAATTAATGTTGTTAATAGGTTGTAATTTTTCGGAAAGTTACACAAAACGAGCCAGAATGAAAATTATAATATCCGAAAATCAAGCCAGATTTGATAACCGGCGAAAAGCCAGCGATAACTCCCACCCACCTGTCAAAATCCGGCACCTTCGGCTGACCATGACAGTTATGAGGGCGTTCCCTTCCCTCCCTCTCACGGGCCCGGTTAGCTCAGTCGGTAGAGCACCAGACTCTTAATCTGGTTGTCGCGGGTTCGAGCCCCGCATCGGGCTTACTTTTTGCTTTTTGTCCGAAATTATAGACTTTGTTTTCAGGAGCTTTTTAAACCCTTCTTTTACTGTTTTTTTTTGTTGTTGATGCTACTTATTCCTAGGGATCTTCATGCTCGGCTCCCCACTCTACAAGAAGGTACCCCCGAAAGAGAACACCATTTTTCGGGTGTTGGCGGCGATTCGGGTAAGTTGTTGGTGGCCTTGGATTTCGAATTTTTTCAGCGATCGTTGGGTAATAAGCTGAGGGGGAAGAAGAAGCGGGACCACTGGTTGGACCATTATTTTGATACGCACGACTGCGAGACGGATCCGCATTGCCGGGAGGCCAAGGGGAAGTGTGTTCAGGTCTGGTTTTCGTGTTGTAAGATACCCCTAGAACATTTTTTCCAGACTTTTAGCGATTTTTTGAAGCTTTTGAAGTCGGTTTTATTCTTCAAAACTCGTACAGGGTAACCAGGCGGTTTAGGTGCGTTTCATCGACGACGTGAAGCAGCTGGTGCGGATCTCCGTGATAATGTTGCCCCTGCCGTTCTTCTGGACGCTCTATGATCAGCAGGGGTCCCGTTGGGTCATTCAGGCGGTGGCTATGGACTCGCGGATCAGCGACGGCTTCTCCCTGCTGCCCGACCAAATGAGCACGCTGAACGCGCTTCTGATTATGATCTTTATCCCGATCTTTCAGGTAATTGGGCTGCTGTAACTAAAATGGCTATTTTACTTTCGTTGAAAATCCGTTTGTCGACATTTTTTCGAAAACCATTTTGTCGAAATTTCTTTTTTTGTCGGAATGGAACTTCTGCTTTTTCCGCCGATTATTGATCCGAAACATTGAGCAACTTGAAATTTCAGCCCACTGATATTTCAACAAAACGATATTTTGACAAAAGATTTTCGGCAAAAATTAATTACACAAAATACGACAAAATTATTTTCGAAATACCGACAACACATCGATAAACCTCCACTGTTTAGGGCCTAATCTACCCGGGCGTCGAGCGAATGGGCATCAGATGTACGCCACTGCGGAAGATGGTGGCTGGCGTGTTCTTGGCGGCCGTCTCGTTCGTCATCTGCGGTTTCGTGCAGATTGCCGTCAACGTGGGTGGGGAATGGAGGATATCCGGTTTTGCAAAGAGAGCCTTTTTCTGTTATAAAATGCCTTAAAATTGGCCAGTACGCTTTAAGGCGTCGAAAATTTCAGTGGTTGAATTTTCAGCGCACCCTGCCCGACATTCCCGGCTCGTCGCAGGCATTCGTCTCCGTCGTCAATGCGTATCCCAGCGGCACCTGTGATTTTGAAGTGAATCTGCCCGATTTTTCGAGCCAGGTTGTTCCGGCGAATTCGGTATGTAAGGAGTAATAAGCGTACATACAGCTTTTACATATCTTTTGGAGATCGCGGTTTTTTTAGTCCTTGATCGATAACGAGTTGGAGAAGACGAAGCAGCTGTATCGCCTTCACGTCGGCTCTGGTATGACGGCCAACTTTCAGTTCGCTAGAGCAGCGTAAGTCTTGGCTGTTTTTTTCATGGTATACCTCTGTTAATTGCATTTTCAGAAGCTCCTCAAACTGCACGATAGACCCGTTCACCGTGGCTGCCACGCTGAAAGGAGGAAAATCCTATATGGTGACCTTGCTCCCCGGTGGGAGGAGCTTGATAAGGGAGGCCAGCTGGGATAAGCCGCAGGAGGGTCAGGGGCAATTTGCGCTCGGGTAGGATTTGGATGGTGTTAACGTTAAACCCCATTGTTTAGCGTCAACATGGCCGTCCCGTGCGCGCGGTTTGAGCAGCTGAACGGAACCTCGTGCTCAGCGAGCAGTTTTAACGGCAGTTTCGCGCTCTGCAGATATGACAAGGAGTGCGATCCGCAAAAGCATGAGTGAGTTATCTAAAGAGAGAGAGAGAGAGAGCGAGAGAGAGAGAGAGAGAGAGAGAGTGAGAGAGAGATCTTTTTTTCAGTTGGTACTACGCGTGGAAAAGCAGCGACGATAAGGCTGTAAAAAGGCTTGATGTCCAAAACGGGAGCCCTGCTTTCGCGCTTGATTATTTGGATATTAAGCCTGGAACGTAAGTTTTGTAGGTATAGTTAAGGTTTTTTTTGTCTAGGTACAAGCTCTATTTGGTGAATTATTTAAAAGATTATTCCGGCGATCATACTCCTCGAAAATCCGAGATTCAGGTATACGATTACTAGATTGTTCTCATCTCTCTCGCTTTCTCTCTCTCTCTCTCTCTCTCTCTCTCTCTGTCTCTTTCTCTAGCTAATATTACAAATCCTAGACTTTATCTCTCGACGTCTACGTCCAGGTGAACCGAATGGGTGGCGTTTACACGCTGACCGTCACTGATCAGGACGATTTGGAGGGGGTAAGCTAAAAAAATTTGTTTTTTTTGTGTATAAAAATAATTCATCCCGTATTAAATTGCCCTTTTTAGTCTCCCCTAATCGCCACGCTGCACACGATCGTCCCCGAGAACCACATGAACATTTTGTGGCAGGTAAGGTCTTTTTCCATAGCTCCCCAAAAGTTATCTTTTTCAGGTTCCGCAGTACTTCGTGATCACGGCCGCCGAGATCTTATTCTCCATCACTGGGCTCGAATTTGCGTATTCGCAGGTGTGAGCACGAACTGTAACATCGATGTCTTATCTTCGGAAACAGACTACAAAATTGGCTAGGGTTAACGGGGCTGAGAAGTGAGGGAGCGGGAGAGAGAGAGACAGGGACAGAGAGAGAGAGAGAGAGAAAGCGAGAGTGCGAGCGAGAGGCCTGTCGTATCACCTAAAAGTCGCTTTTTGGACGAATAGGTTAATCACGAACACGCGAATTTTGCCTTGCTAGGCCGTTTAAAAATCATTATTTCAGTCCTCTCCCAGCCTAAAAGCCGTGGTGACTGCCATGTGGCTGTTCACGCAAGCCCTCGGCGATGCGGTCATCATCGTCATTGACGAGCTCGACTTGTTCCAGAATTTGGTGAATATTTACTTTTTTATTTATTAGACTTTTGTTAGTTTTAACCTATTTTCCAGGCCGTCGAATTCTTCGTCTACTCCGGGATTCTGTTTGTCGTCGTGGTCGTCCTGTTACTCTTGTCAATCTTTTACTACGAATACAAAGAAGTTATGGTGGAGACCGACGGCGGGAGGTACGGCGTTTAAAAAAAATTAAAACCCCTATTCTAAAATTTTGTAAACTTTAGTTTCAGCGTCAAAGTTGCTCTCGAAAACTCAGGTTACGTGGACGATGAGGGGACAACGAAACTTTAACTAAAATTTGAAAAAGAATTACCGCGCTTCTGTCCTTGCCGTTTTCTTAAAAAACGTTCTGAATCGGGTATTTGATCTGCTAGCCAGATATTTGATAAACTTTATCGAAAACTTGCAGTGAATATGCCATCAAAGAAAATGCCGAAAAATTCCATCAAACACCGAAATCCCCTCAACCAGAAACTCGATAGGCGAAAATGCCGACAGCGAAAATCCCGACAGAGAAGATCACGACAGCCTCGACCGACAGCTGAAATCCCGACAAGCCAAAATGCCGGTTGTCATGGTCCCAACGGCCAAAATCCCGGCAGCCAAAATCCCGACAGCCCAAATCCTGAAAGTCACAATCCCGACAAAGGCGTGACATTCAAACTAGCGTCAGACTATGTCGGTATTTTCCGTGTCAGGATTTTGGCTATCGGGTCTTTGGTGGCGGTCTTTTGCTTGTCGGGATTTTGTGTGTCAGCATTTTAGATATGACAAGCATAGGATACTTACAGAAACTTGCGATGTTTTTGAATTATAGGGCCGAAAAGGTCAAGATTTTCCAAATTTCAGTAGTTAAAAATGATTTATAATTTCCTAGCGATCCAAAACTACCAAAACTATGATAAAATACCTTATATAGTATCAACAGATACATATTAATTATCAAACGGCGGAAAAAAAGCAAAAAAGTTGCACTTTTCTACCAAAATCGGGGTCCCGAACGCCCATTTTTGAGGCCTAGGCCGATCCGTTCGGCTCGTCGAGTACACCGGGGATAATTGTCGTCCAATTATCCGGTGTTAGACAGCGTTTTCGGCAATGTAAAATACAGGTTTTGTCACTGTCTGTCTATATTTCACTGTCTGTCTGTTTGTTTGTCAATGTGTCATTCCATCTCCAAGTGCCCATCGATCATCGAAAAACGCCTCCTCCGTCGGCGCTAACACCATTTCATTTTTTGCGATCACACCGAATCGCGCCCGCGATCAGCTGCTGGCATGGGCTATGCGGCGCAAACAAAGGTATCCCTTTTTGAACTTTCGATTTTTGGGGTGCTTTGGCATTATTGGGGGGAGGAGTCTGTATAGATCGGAAAGGCTAGTAACGTAATAGCAAAAATTTTAATAAAATTTTCAGTTAACTTTAATTGGGTCTGAACTGGAAAAACTATCGAAAAACGAAGAATTTTGATGGTAGATTCGATATTTTTGGTCGAAAAATCCCCGTTTTATGTATTTTTCGGGTCAATTAAACAAATTTAAACTATATTTCAACGAGAAAATTAGCAAAATACCCGTTTGAGTCTTTAAACATTTAAAAAGCCCTAATTTTGGTACAAATCGGCAATTTTTGGTCGAAAAATTCAGATTTTTTTCGTTTTGTTAATCAAAACTCGTAAAGTTTTTACGTTTAGTAGAAAAAAATGTGGCAACACGTTCTCTATTTTTATTGGATTTTCGATAAGATGAAAAATTGCGCCATCTAGGTTGCTCCAGAATGCCCGGCCACCCAATTACCCATCGCCTTCCATGAAGCCACGACAACCGATGAACTGGCCGAGCAGATCGGAGGGTAAAACCCATAAAATCAACCAATTGAAACCGTCTCCTCCAGCTTGCACGACATCTACACGTTGACCGTGGTGGTGTTGATGGCGGCTGTGTGGCTGGTCATCGCCCCGACCGTCTTGGGCAACGCGTTTATGGCCCCGTTCGAGAAACCGGCCAACGACACGTTCGTCACCGTGCAGGATGAGGTTCGATCGGCCCCAGAATGAATTTGTAGTTTGTAGCCTGTAGTTCCAACTGTCGGCTACCTTTCCGAATCCGGCCGAATGGACCGGCTCGATGGTGTTCGTCGGAAACCTGCTTTTTGGTCAATTTTTGGCGACGGTGACGGATTAGTAAGTTTTTATACGGATTTAACTTAGAAAAAATATTTTCTTTCTTTCTGAAAATTACTGTTTCTTTGGCCTTATTGGGGGTACCAATTTTTCTAACAATAGAAGAACTGTTTTTACACTTTTTTACTATTCCAAAACGCAAAATCCTTGCAAACCTATATTTAACAATACAAGAAAAATCGATTTTCGACCAAAATCGCCGATTTTCCACCAAACTCGAATTTTTATAACATTTTACTTTTTTTGAGTAGTTTTACACTCGAAATAAAGGTAAATTTTACTGAAAAAAATAGTAAAATACGTGGTATTACGGTGCTATATGCATTCCATTAATTTTTTTCTTGATAATGCACAAAAGATAGATTTTTTAGGTGCAAAAATACGTATTTCGACAATGATTTGGAATTTTAAGTTCTTTAACATTTTTTAGATAGTTTTCCACATCTTAATTTGACTATAAACGCTATTACTTACGCTATGCTTTCTATTACACTACTAGAAATTCTGGGTTTATACAAAAAATGCGCTTCCTCCCCCCGATAATGCGAAAGTACCAATGCCCTCCATCAGCTATGGGCGACGTCGGATCATTTCCTGGTCGATGCTGGTGTACGGAATTATCGGCGTCGCAGCTTCATTCTCGCCGTCCTTCCCCTTCCTGCTGATGATGCGATTATTTTCGGGCATTTGCTTCACGGTAAGTTAACAAAAATCACAGTATTAAAACTGCCATCCCGTAATAGCCAATTTTCGTGACGAATTACGTGCACGCGATGGAGTGCCTCCCGTTCTCAGCCCATCCGATGGCTTCGTTGATTTTTGCGGCCACTTGGGTTAGCGGCTACTGCTTGGTGAGTTGGTGAGAAAAACCTCACGATCAGGGATTGGTACATGTACGTGTGGAGCGTTACGTATTTAGGTGTATTCGTTTGCAACAGCAATTTTTTAGGCATCACCAATCGCGATCATTTTTCCCCACTGGCGCCTCTTTCAGCTGGTCAGCTCGTTACCATGCGCAATTCTGGGCATCATCCTGATTTTGTAGGCCCTAAAAATAATGGTTCACAAAGTAAATTTAAGATTTCTGCCCGAAAGCCTCGGCTTCGCCATCTCGGGCAATAGACCTGCCGAATTCCGGCGCTACCTCTCGAACGTCTCCCGTTTTTCGAAGCGCCAGTAAGTGCTTCTGGAGCTTTGACACGTTCCCAGTCTACGCTACAACTTCTCGAAGCTTGTCGACACGGAAGGAACAGGCAGCCAGGAGGTCGACCTGAAAACGCTGGTCCGGGAGACCACCAAAAAAGAAATACTGCAGCGCGTCGTGTTGTGCTCATATTTATGGTAGGGATTTTTCTGAAGCTCTAGTTTTCTTTATATAGTTTTTCAAATTTCAAATTTTTTACAAGGTTTTGGTTGTTTTCTACAGTTTTTAGGGTTTCTAACCTTAAAACTAATAGAGCAAATTCAAAATTTCAAAATTAAAAAAATCCAATATGCTGCACGAATTTTGGGTATTTTCTGGGCACTTTTGCTTAGATGCATTTTTGTATGTTTTAGGGATGAAATTTTCTCTTTTTGGACTTCTGTACTTTTAGCTATTTGAAAACTGACCAAAAATGTCAAAATTTTAGCATTTTCAAAAATTAAAAATGTTTTATAACTTTCTAGCAATAAAAGAAGAAAAACTACGAAAAAGAATAGATTGTTTCCACGTAGGTGGAAAAACAAGCCAAAATCAGGCAAAGACTAACAAAAACGCGATAAAAATACACTATATATTGGCAACAGGTAGGCGGAAGAACAAAAATGAGTTGTCCGCCTGCAAACCCCCTCCCCCCCCCCCGCTGACACACCAGTACCGAAAAACCATGAACTTTCCAGGACAGCCACCTGCTTTGCATACAACGGGCTATCCTTTGAAAGCACGGTGCTAAAAGTCGGCAACAACCACGTTCAATTTTTGCTGTCCGGAATCGCGGAGATCCCGTCCTATTTTGTGTCGCCCCTCCTCTTCGACCGAATCGGCCGACGGCTGACGGTGATCGGGATTTGCGTGTTTTTCGCGGTAACCTGCCAGGGGATGTGCATCCTGGCCTACTTTGCTATGGGTAAAAATCTAGCCAAGCTTCAAGTTGCCTAAAATTCAGACGACACCTGGATGTTCCTCATATTTTGGCTGCTGGCCAAATTTGGGGCCAGCGCCGGCTTTATGTGTCTGTTCATCTACGGGTCGGAAATGTTTCCGGTGGGTTTTGAGACCAAAACTGCCCAAAAAAGAACAAGAAGGCGTTAGGCGATTTAGAGGTATAGCAGATTCGATAGAGCTTGAAATTCTGGTTCTTTTGCAGTAACGCGGGGAAGCCAATTTTGCCTATAAGTCCGGAAAAACCTAGTAATGCATTAATAAGTATTTTAGTTGTGGTTTTAGTAAAATTTATCCATTTTTCAAGTGAAAAAACAATAGAAATACGGTTTTCGTTGCAAATCGTCCATTTTTCGGCGAAAAACCGATATTTTCGTATTTTTTCATGAAAATTTGTTAAGTTTTTACGGTTAGAATAGTAAAAATTGTTAAGAAATACTTCCGCTGTCTATATTAGAAAAGCCGGATCCTTAGAGGCCTCGCAAGAGCAAAATGACAAATGATGAAGAAACCCCTACTAAGCCCCAGCTTACACGAGCGACAACCCAAGTTTCCAGATGAGCTGCCGCTCCTTTGCGCTCGGCATTTGCTGCTCACTCTCCAATATCGGAGCCATTGCGGCGCCGCACGCGCCGGCTTTTGTAAGCTTTTTGACGTTAAAATTAGAATTCACTGAAAATCACAGGGCCTGCTGTTCCCCGGTGGCACCTATGCGGCATTCGGGTTGTTGCTTTTGTTGGCCGCCGTCGTGACTTCCCATTTGCCCGAGACAAAGGACATGCATAAATGATTGTTGACAGGGAATTGACTAGCCAAAAAAAAGCAAGGATTTGTGTGGCTATTTTAGTCAGATTCCGCTACATTTCAACGTACGCTTTGAACGGAAAATCTTGTAAAACGGACTTTACGGTGACTTTTCCAATTTTGTCGGCAAGCCATTTTCCCCCTGAAAATGTTGTATTTTTCCCTTTTTAACAAAATAGACGAGCCAAAATATAACAAAACTGACATGTACTTTACGAAATTCCGCTAAATTTCAACCTACCTTTTAACCGGAAAGCTAGATTACGACTAATTTTTCGGTTTTTGAAATTTATGGCAATTTAGCAAAAATGGCGCGTTTGCACGCTTTTAGCAAGGAGTATTTAAACCTCAAAACAGCAAAAGATCTTTTTTTTAGCTATAAAGCAAGCTTTTGTTCCTCAAATTAATCTTGCAATTTATTTATTACACAGCTCAACTTAATTTTTGTTACTATATCGCGCGGCATTTGCCAACTGCCGTTTTTGGACAAAATTCCAATACATTTCAACGTACGCTCTGAGCGGAAATCTAGACTAAAACCGGTTTTTAGCCCGGTTTATTGTGCGTGAATTTCTCGACGAATCCCTTTAGTTTTCAGCCATTTTCCGCCCGGAAATTGAAGCATTTGGGCTTTTGCTGAAGTGGGCGCGTTGGGGGGTCAGGCTTTTTTGGGAGGTCGGCCGGCCGGGGCGGTGGCTTCCACAGCATTTCAATGGACGCCCATCTTCTATTCCTTTGGGGGCGCATTCAATACTGCCATTACAAGGCTCCATTCATCTCTCGGCCCGCCGGCTTTTGCTGCCCCCTGGCGCCCGGAAAACAAGCCGATTAGCCGGTAATATTATGCTTTAGAGCGGCTAGTTGAGTAGGTGCTGTTTTCTGGGGTCCGCTTCCCTTGATTCTTTTGAATTAGGACGGATGAACATCGAAATCGTCTTTCTAAGCTGTCTAAAATTGTTTACAGGCGCCTTCGGAGCTAGTTTTCGTAGGTTTAACGAAATCAGAAAGCTTTTATAGCTTTTTCAGCGAATCCAGATTTCAGGGTGCTTTCAAGGGCCGCTGGAGTGTTTTATGGCTATTATTTCTGACGCTTTTAGAAGATTAACTCTGAAGTCGATTCTGGAACACTCGAAAACTTACACCAACTTTATACGAAAGCCCTTAACGTTTATCTGACATTCCATTTGCAGCTATTCCTCTCAATCTCGATTCCCGTTTTTTTAGCTCAATGGGGCCATTCCCGAATTTTCAGGCGCCGACCCCACGCATCTTCGGCATCACCATCAGCCTCATCCCGTCATGCACTACAACAACAAGAAGATCCTGACGGCAAGGGTAATGGTTTTTCTTTGTTGAAAACAAAAAGCTTTCGAAAGTAAATTTGAGGAGACTGCCACAGCATTTAGGATTATAACGCGAGCGTAGCAGCCGAGATTTCCTTTGAAAGCCATCATCCACCTCTACTAGGGCCGCTTTAGCTTTTTGTTTGACAATAATTTTTATCAAAAAAAAAGCCGAACTCGTATTACAGCCAGCCATTCTTGAGCTAAGCTAATTTCTTTTCACTTCTTCGCCGTCGCTGTTGAGGCGCTTTCAGATAAAAAAAATCCAATTTCGTGAGAAAGGCCAATATACCAAAACCAGATCCCCGCTGTCAACCTCAATCTCCCTCAAACCCGAGCCACCGGGCCCTTGTCTCCCACAATTTTGGCCAGCGTGAGTGGCCCTTCGCCCAGAGCCGCTAGCCTAGCTATAGTTCTTTTTCGTCTGGGCCCCTTTTGGGGCCTCTCCTAGGGACCGCTAGGGGCCCATTCGGGCACTGCGCTTCCACCCCACCGCCTCCCTAGGTACTCTCCCGCTTTTTCGCATATTGATTACCCTCTCCGGCTGGGGGGCCGGAGACTTTATTTTTTAAGCACATCCATTTGTCTTGGCTCGGCGGCCAGACATTTTTCTTCGGGGGCGCCTTGGAAGACTCTGGCGTTTTTTAGGGGTTTCTCTGCATGCGCAACGTGAGCTTTCTGATCCAGCACAGCTTTGTATATAAATTAGCTCCGATCTGCCCACCAATTTTTCAGGTTTTCTTATTGTTCTTATTCCTATTGCCATTCCACTTTTCGCCCAATCTTGCCCCACCCCAGCAATTCAATCCGCCGGAATGCGGATGGGTGGGGGAACCGAAATTCGATGCGCCCTTTCCCATCTCATTTTCATTTGCAGCCTAGCTTCTTCTGGAGGCCGCCATGCGATTTTTGGGCCGTTTCAACAATTTCATGCGCTCGAGGATTTTGGGGCAATTCCGGATTCTTTCTGGGGACATAGCTAGCAGCTTGCTGCGAGCCCCTCCCATTTCGCGGGCCAGTTGTTCTCGGCTGATTGTGGCCCAAATAGGTTTGGGGGTCTCGGCCTTTTTGGGCCTGGTTGCGTGCCCCTCTCGCCCCACACGGCCAATAGCATTTTCTCCATCGCCTCCCCGAAGGCATGCATTTCGGTTTTCACATCTTTTCTTCCGTGGCCCACTCTTATTTCCGAATTCCACGCTTTAGCCCCGGAGCTCATGAACCGTCAAATGTACGGTAATGAGACGGTACGGCTGCGGCCAACGAATATCTTTGCTCATCCGGGGTACACCGAAGATATCACGGTGGCTGGCAGTCTCCTCAAGGATAAGATATCCAAAATTTACGATGTGGTTTCGGGGAAGGAGGAACCGCCGGAAGGTTTTTCGAAGGTCCGTAGCTTGAGGAAGCGGGTATCTGCCTGTAAATTTCATCCGAATGCTATTTGTCTCTTTCAGGTCGAAAAAGTGCAGCTCGTCGACAGATGGGGTGGCGAGCAGAACATTGTCGGCACGATACACGCAACTTCAAGCCACGTCATCTTCAAGGCCGAGACAGGAACCAGAGAAATTTGGGTGTGTTTTAACTTTTTACAACTAAAACTCGTTTATAGATGAAGAAAGAAACCGATTTTTTTTTCAGTTGGCGAATGGCTTGATCGGTGCCGTGGAACGGGGTGCACTTTCTGCGGCTGGCTGCCCACTAGTGATTCGGTGTAAGCATTTCATGCAGGTGAGGCAATTTTATCCGATCCACTGAATTTTTAACAGATCCACTTGTTGATCAACCGGGACAAGGCCTGCCAAGAACTCTACGAGACACTTTTGAAAGTCTGCAAACCAAGTAAGTTTTTATTCGAAAACTCTATTTTTATAATCTTAGCTAACATCGAGAACGTGTTCGCGTTTGAAAACCGTTGCTTGAGCGAAGACGTACGTGGCTGGAATCGTTTGGATTGGACTTCGGAATTTTCAAGACAGGGCGTCTCCTCCAGCTGGACACAGACCGACATAAATAAGGGCTACAAGGTTGTTCCTTCCATTTGGCTATTTATTTTTATTTAGTCGTGTGATACATACCCTGAGAAGCTCTGGGTCCCTACCGCTGCTCGAACACCCGTGCTAGAGGGGGCGATCAGCTTCAGGAGTCGAGGCCGCCTGCCAGCACTCACTTATTTTTACAAGAAAAATGGCGCCGCTTTGTCTAGGTAAAGGCGATCCATTAATTTAATTTTTACTATTTTTAGGTGTGCACAACCGAATTCCGGCTTTCGGGCCCGCTGCATGGAGGACGAGACGCTGATGTCGCTGATAGGAAAGGCAAACCCACAACACGACATTGTCTACCTAATCGACACCCGGCCAATGGTATAGTTTTTGAGATTTTCCCGGATTACCCTGTTTCAGGTGAATGCGATGGTGAACAAGGTACAGGGCAAAGGCTACGAGGACGAGCGCAACTATTCCAACATCAAGCACCAATTCTTCGACGTCGAGAACATACACGTGATGCGGACATCACAGCAGAAATTGGTTGATGGTAAATTTTCGGGAACCCTAAAAACAAGCTTTTTGAATGTAACCTTTTTCGTATATACAATTTCCTTTTCAGCATGCGGTAAATGCCGAAACGTCAACGAATACCTGAAAGCCGTCGAATCATCCGGGTGGTTGAAGCACGTGAGAGCGGTCGTTGAATGCTCAATGTTTATCGCGGAAAGCTTGTCGAAAGGTAAGTTATTAACATTTTTTATGGTAATTTTTATTTAGGTATTTCCTGCGTTGTACACTGCTCCGATGGCTGGGACCGGACATCGCAAACGGTATCTAGCGCCCAAAGATTGTGCAAAAACAGTTCTAGGTCAGCATTGCCGAGCTTCTCGTCGACCCATTCTACCGGACAATCCACGGATTTGAGGTTAGGCTTTATGGGGCTTCTTTTCTACAAAGGCTTTTAGGTCTTGATCGAGAAGGACTGGCTGGGCTTTGGTCATAAATTTGACGACCGGTGCGCCCATGTCGGTGCCAACAATGATGAAGCGCCAAAAGAGGTAGCTTTTATTTTATTTTTAGTTCTCTACATCAAAAATTTAAAAGACCTGAAAGTCTGAAGATTTATCTGCTTTTCAGGTATCTCCCGTCTTTTCTCAGTGGCTGGACTGCGTGTGGCAGATTTGGAAGATGCGCCCGAGGGCTTTTGAGTTTAACGAGAGGTTTTTGATTGAGGTTTCTTGTCTTTTCCGAAATAGTACGATTTTTTAGCTTCACGAACACGCCTATTCCTGTCAGTTTGGCACGTTCCTGGGAAACTGTGATTGCGATCGTAAGGTACGATTCGCAACTGTTTACTGTTATTTTACCATGTTTTAGAGCCTCTCACTTTCGACAAGGACGAAGTCTCTCTGGACATATCTCGATTCCCGGCAGGACGACTTCTTGAACCCGTTTTATGATGTAAGTGTGGTTTATTTAGTAGCGTTATGCCTTTTTCATTCCAGGCGACGCTCTACGACAATCTGATCGACATCGACACGCGTGCCGCCTCGTTTTCAGTATGGCAGGGGCTGTACAATCGATTCGACGACGGCATCTTGCCGCGCGAGGTATTTTCTAACTCCTTTTCTCTTACTAAGTTTTAGGACATTCAAAGCTCAACAATGTCTTCCATGGAGCACGTCGGCATCTTGGAGGCGCATGTGGCGCAGTTGAGAAATGTATGCGTAATTTTTTAGACCGAACTCTTTTTTGTAGAAGCTGGCCGAGCTGAAGCAGCAACTCGGCAAGGGCGCCGCCATCGGGATGGTGGACAGTGGCCATGGGTCGAGTAGCGGAAATGAGGGCGCGGATGGCGCGCAAAGTCCGGTGAGCCCGAATTGTTGCTTCCTTAGAATCCGGTTTTTTAAAAAATGCCCTAAACGCAAAAAAATGATTAAAAAGACCAATAACATCTATTTTTCCGCCAAAAGAGTTTTTTCGATCGAGGTTTCAATTTTCTTGATGTCCATAGTAGTTTTGTTTCTTTTATTCAGCTTTTTTTACCTTCTCATACGTTCTTCTTTTCAGCTCAGCTACTCCCTGTGCGGCTTTGGCGAGGAGAGCGGCTACTGCGAGGGCCTGCTGCAACCAGTCGCACTCCGATGGACCTCGGAGCGTGATGCTTCTGCCTGTGCTTCCCCGAATTGCGGCTTCGAATTCAACTCGCGCGGGGAGCGGCGCATGCATTGTTATCGTTGTGGAAAGGTACGGGGTTTTTTTGCGCGAAAAATAGCTGATTCTTGCAGATATTTTGTCGACGCTGCGTCCGTGTCACTAGCGACGAGCAAGAGCGCGTCTGTATTACCTGCACGTCCGCCCAGAGCGGCATCCAACATACATAATTAATTGCATCTGTGATAACCTCTTCGGCTATAATTTATTCTTTCCTTTCTCGGGTCCCCCATGTGAATATCCCTCGTCATTTCGCTTGTGATAACCAATTGAGCCAAACCCGCCACCGATGTAGCCTCCTGTTTTCTGTGGTGCTTCAACCTTGTCAATTTGTATTTGACGTTACCCCCGATGATGATATGCAATAAAGAATTTATGACTTTACACGGTTATTATTGAGGCTTTCGGTTTCTTAGGACGTATTATTTTGTGGCGCAGCTGTCTCGGCTTTTTTTTTTGATAGATTTTTCGGTAACAGAGGATTTGCACAATCCTTTTGTTTTATTACGTTACAATATGGCTTTTGGAGTTTTTTAATAGGCATTTAAATTTTGATATTTTTCAACAATTATGAAAATTTCAAAGTATTAATTAAAAATAAATTAATACTTTTAAACAATTTGAATATGAAAATTACTCGCTATTTGCTTTTGTTATCAGGAGCCTCTTACATGAGAAATCAGATAAAGATTGTAGAAAAGATTAAGCATCTCATAGCGATAAAAGCAAGTTTTCAGATGCGAGTTGAAAGCGGCCAGTTGAAACGGGCTGCCCCTCCGAAGAAGAGGCGTAAGCGGCCACGCCACAGCAAACTCCGTGCGAGTGCCATCTTGAAGGTTTGATTGGTTTTATCAATTTATCCGTATAGCAATAGAAAACAAGAAACGGGTTAACTTTATTAAAAAATTGTATGGATGTAACAGCTAATCGTAATCATGAACCTCTCTCCTCTCTACGCACGGAACAACTTAATTACACTTACTCAATTTAGATCGAACGAGCCCTCTTTCTACGCCCATCGCCGATCGGCCATCTTTTCCACCGTCTCGACAGCGAGGGGACGCCAGGTTTTATCATTCGGGGTTCTCTAATCCTTTTTTAGAAGCGAAGCTATCGGAAATTTGCATTTGTTTGAAGCTGCCGGTGGATGAGATAATGAATCTGTCCTATAATGTACGTGTTTTCTGAGTAATGATACCTTGTTTTAGAGTTTGATGAGTTTCAACAGAAACACCGTGCACTTCACCGTTGGCCGTGATGCGGATGGACACTGGGCCATCACCCATCGACCCACCTATCCGGTGAAGGCCGACCGAATGATTTTTGTGGTTAGTCTTGCGCAAATTATCAACAGCAATTGTCTCAGGACCGTCTTCCCACAACGGCAAATCCTGCCCGGCTGCGTCGAGAGCTGCGTAAATACGGCAATGTCGTCCGTGTCTGGCTACCAGTGCGCCGCATTCCAGGTCGGTTTTTAGGTCGAATTCTCAAATTCTCCTTTAGTGGACGCAAGAATCGTTTCGACATTCACCCAGCCGAAGCGCCCCAGGGGCCACGCATGGGTCGAATTTACCACCACCGAATCGGTGCGCCGGATCTGCTGGGTATTAATAACCTCTTTTGAGCTTGAGATTTCCTCTTTTTAGGAATATGCATACAACCTGCCATACACTTTGCGGCGCGTTATGCTCAGGAAGAAGTGGGTTACTTTGACTTTTCACCAATGCTGCTCTTAGGCTTATTGTTGAGAAAGAACGGCAGCTTCGAAAGCGGGAATCTCAAGCTCTCATGGCCGCAGCGGCAGCGGCGGCGGCAGCCGCGGAGGCGAAGCCAGAAAATAAGGACATGGTAAGGAGGTTTTCTCTAAAAAAAGCATGTTTTACTTTAGCCGTCGACAAGCTCGACCCCTGCGAAAGACGGACAGGTGCGCAAGGCGGCAGCAAGAAGGTCAACGCGCTGCAAGTTGGTCTCGCCCCAAGCCCCGGTATGGAATTTGTATCATATGAATTTCAGCGTTGAGCGCTTTCATATCGGTTGTAAAAAATGCTCCGCTATGCACTGATCATTTTTAATTTAGGTCCGGAAGCCCGAATTCGTCTCGCCAGCACCCATCGTTGAACGTGCACGGCTGACCTCCACGTCCAGCGTCGAAACGAACGACCGACCGCGCCGATCTGTCGATTCTGCGCCGAAGCGTCCACACAAGAAGCCGACCGGGGACTGCACACCCGCGAAGTGGCGCTTGCGTAAAAAGTAAGATAATTCCTTTCGATATTCTAATATTTCCAGGAAGAAAAGGGAGCCGCACGACCCGCAGCACAAGTCGCCGTTCATCCGAGGGGCTGTCTCCAGATACTTTCGTCGCATGCAGGTCCTCTCATTGTGAGTTTTTTTGCATTTTCTCGAGAAATATGTGTTTAGCCGCACCTATCGGCAGCTACGCGGCGGATACAACTCCGTTTATCGCAAATCAAGACGCAAGATTCCGAGTCGTATGGTACGTGGTCAATTTTTTGGAGTTTTGGCAAAATTGGCGGCTTCCTTTATCTGGCAAAATCAGGTATGCCTGGTAATGTAATCGTATGTATATTTTTTTGATAAAATTAGTTATATTTCATGTGAACGAGGTTTCGAACCTAGGAAAATGTGGACAATCTGAGCTTTTGATAGAAAAATCTATGTTTTCCAAAAAAAAACGGTAGTGAGACGCTTTCTCCATGTTATAGCAGCAAAATTGGACCCCAAGGATAATTTTGGGCAATAGTTTTGCGCATTAAAATATGGTTTCGTTTTTTTAGCGCATTAGCCACAAACGCCTGACGGCCGAGCGCGACGCCCGCTGGTCCCTTGATAATGGAGACGAATCTGACGGTTCCGATGTCGACATGGCCGAGCTCGACGATTAATGTCAAACGCCGTTTTCTACATCCACCCCCCACCTCCCCCCACCTCATCCTCAAATTTTGCTGTGCCTTTTGATTTTTCGCCCCCGGTCCGCCCCCAGTGCTTTTCCAGCCAATCGTCGGTTTTTTGATTACGAGTTTTACACGATTTCCGGGAGCGTTGTGAGCAGGTGGATGAGAGGTTCGTGTTGAGTTTTTGTGTGTGATCTCATCATCTCCTTCACTTCCTCACTGTTCGTCGCCTCATCGTCCCAACCCTGTTCCTTCTTTCTCATTCTTCGGGTCCCCTACGCAGACAATGTGCACCTGCCACCCTTTTACTCTAGTTGATCTTTGAAAATTCGCGATAAAATTTTGTGCCCCATGGGTTCAAGGCTTTTCGTGGCGGATGAGGCCTTGGACGGCAACCTTGGCGATTTCTCGATTGCCGCAACCGAAGACGATGCTGGAATGGGTTGCCATTGGTCGTTCGATTATTTTCATGTTGAAACGAGCTTTACTATAGGTCGAAGGTCCTGTAAGTACCGTGGTAACCATAATGTGACGTAGTAAGTAAATTTAGCTATGTTTCAAGTGGAACTATTTAGTAAACACGGAAAACCTTTAAAAAATTCATTTTTTTAGAAAATTTGTTCTTCTTTTCTATGAAACTTCGCGAAGTTTTTCCGATTACGAGCCATAAAAAAAATACTTTAGTCAAACTTATTTGTTTTGATACTAGAAACATCGGATACTAGGGGTTATGAACTTTTTGAAGTCTGTCTACTCACCCATCGGCTAGTTCATCTTTGTTCAAACCAGCAATTACTGGGCTAGCGGCATCAAAAGCCACGCAGTCGAACGCTTTTCCAACCTGTACTTTCGGTAAACTTTAGCGTCAGGTGTACCTACATCAAAAGACCCGCAAACCTTCGAGAGGTTCAGCGAACGGGCCCCACCCACGGTGGCATGCTTCAGGAGACGTTCAGCTAAAATGGGGTATTTGGAGAGCTTTTAGGAATGCTGAATGGTATCCGTGGACGTACCCGATAGCCCGGCGATGTTGCGCGAGTTGTGTTTCGCCTAAAATGGTGTTTCCAAGTGTATTAAGTAAGTATAGAATATTGTATAATATCACTGAAAGTAGTTATACTGACATGTTGAGTGAATGCCGCCCATCGCAGCTCTTCTATGAAACAGATTCGATTGTTGCAATCGGTGCCGAATGAGAGATGGGTTTTGGAAGAGATGGCCGGAATGCCGTCTCCGAGGTAGCCTAGGTTTCAATTTCTGAGTATCTTATAGCAGTCGAAATTCGTAAGCCGAAAATTGAAGCTATTGCGATATTCGGGGGAGAAACTGAATTTTCTTAAAAATCAGGAAATACCTTTTAACGTGATAGAAAGTATTTTACTGGTGTTTTTCATAAAATTAGCGAAATTTCAAGAGGAAAAACGCCTTAGAACTCTTAAAAAAATGTCCAAAAGCTTAATTTTGCGTGAACGCGGCCATTATAAACAAAACAAAACTATTTGTTACGTTTAGGAATCGTAAAAAAAAACCGTTTAGAAACACTTTTTCGATTTATATTGGAAATTTCGGATCGTAAGGAACGAGTTTGGTCCGGTGTTAGAAAAATATTGACGTGTTTTTACGTACCTTCAGTGCAAGGGCACACGCTAACATTTGCGCCAAGCTCCGCTAGCTTTTCCATGTTTTCAGCCGTGGTATAACTGGATAAAGATAGTATAAAATTTTCCTGATCTTTCTCACGTGTTGTGAACACCGGTGAAGAGGGGCCCCGGCTTGATCCGCCTCAGGATGACGTCCACCGGCGTCTGCGCCGAGTTCTAGAAATTTATAGACGTAACGACGAGGGAAAGGACGCGATATACCATAAATTTCTGGCAATCGGCCAGCTCCTTCGGTTGTTCCTCGAGATGGATGTGGAAGGGGAGCTGCTGCTGCTCGGCCCACTGCCAAAGTTCGCCGATGTGCGCGAATGGGACGGCGCGCGCCGAGTGCGCTGAAGAAAGTGGTCTTATCAATCTATTAAAGATTAACTAACATAATTTGAATTTGAACTTAATATTTTAACTTAACTTAATTAAAAACCAAATTAATTCGAGTAAAATGCAAATAGAATTTTTGTTTCGTTTTAGTTTCTAAAGGTTTTTTTGTTTGTTTTTTTCCATTGAAAAGCGGAACTACCGGCCACGCCAATGGTCGTCGTTTCATCTTCTAGCTTTCGGAGCCCATCGGCGTGCTTGATGAAGTCGTCGTAGGTGCTGATGAAGCTGCAACAATAATAGTATGAAAAGCAGATTGAAAATTTTTGTAAACAAAACTTCTTGCATTCAAAAACTACTAAAAACACTGTAAGAATAAATTATCTATTATTAGTAGGTAAGAAATTGCAAATAAAAAAATAAAAGATGCATTATGAGTTTTTTTTTAATCCCAATGCTTACCGCTTTTTCTGGATGACGTGCGGCTCCGGCGCATCAAAGCCGGCTTGCTCGTACAGTGTAGTGAGAAGGCAGATCCTGATCCCGGCTTCTTTGGCCGCCGCAAGTACCGCCGAGTCCAGGTCAAATCTTAACATCTGATTCCGCTACGCTACTCCGCCCACCTTCCACTGCCGTGGTGCACGTAGTGGAACTCGCCAACCGTCGTGATGCCCGCTTGGATCATTTCGCGGAACGTGGCAAGGCAAAGCTGGAATTTTACGCATTTTTGGAGGTCTGTAGCGTCCAAGGCAACCCCGCTAGTCTGCCCCTGCACTAAAAACTGCAAAAACCACAGCTTAAAAATACCTTCTTCATGCCATCCCAATCGACGTCGTCGACCAGGTTGTACATGTTGTCGCGCCAGCGCCAGAACGTGTCCCCGCCCTCATTTCCTAAATGTTGGTTTGTGTAGTGAGTTGCTGTCGCGTGTCTCATTATCCGCGAAACGCAGCGCGCCCGCGACGCGCGTGGAATGCCGAACGTATAACGAGCCGCCGTTCTTTTAAAGGAACACCGATAGCAGCCCTGAACGTGGCGCCGTCGCGTTGCGTCCTGGGCGCGTGACGGCTCATCTCGGCTCAGGCAGTTTCTTCGTGTTCTCGCACAACATGCAATGCAACCGCAGCGCGTTCAAGAGCATCTTTTGAGTACCTGAACGGCCCGTCACGGGGGCGTTGCGTCTTTTACCGGGGCAAATGTCAGATCTAAACAACACGCAGCGCTTCCGCAACGCGCTTGTTCTTCCCGGTCCCTTTAAAACCTCACCGATTTCCGATCGTCCTCGCAAATGACGATGGAATGCGTGCGAGTGGGTGTTGATGAAACCGGGGAGAAGCGCCTGTAGCCGAATCAGAATCGATTGAAAATATTTGACGTAAGCTTACCAGCGTCGGCCATTCGACGAGCTTCTGGCCATCGACGGGCTCGACGTCGGGTCCGATCTGGTAAATTAAACGTAATCGAGCTGACAAAAACGTACATAATCACGTTACAAATACGTTGTATAACTTTAGAAAAATCGCTCTTAAAAACGTTTTAAAATGGGATTAAAAATCCTACTAAAAATGTTAGAAATTACTAGATCCACTTAAAATTGAGAAATACCCGCTCGATATTCCCTGTCGAATCGATCGCAACAGCCTGACCTTCTTCGAAACGGCCGCCCACCCACAGGAATCGTGGTCGGATTACGGTACCGCGGAGCGACATTTAGCAAAACGGGCTGGAAGGGCTGGAAATTGTAAAAATATTTTGAAAAAACTACAGCCGAAATTGAGGATAAATGGAACAATCGATGTGGTGTCGGAAACGCTGACCGTTGGGGGTCAACCGGGTCGTTTTGTGGCTTTTACAGCCTTCGCTCCGCTCCGCGTACATCCCGCGTCGGTTGCCCCCGTTTATGGGGGTGCTGTTTTTAAGGGGATAGGTCGTGTTTGTCGTTTTTTAATAGCTGTTTTTAGGTGAACTCAAATCCAGAACTTAGAACGACGTAAACCAAAGGTATTTAGATAAGGTTTATGATTTCATTAATGTCCAACTCATACCGTATCAACACGCGTCCGGGCGTGTAAGTAAGCACTGCTGGGAACTCGCGAGGTTCCTGCCACGCGTCTGTACATGTTTGCCGTGAAGGACGGCGTATGTCTGAAAGAACCTGAAAAATAGGAGGAAAAATAGTACTAACTGGTGCAGGATTTAGGACCACGCGTAACTCGCCCGGTCGGTTAGACTTAGGCTTGGGCTTAGGCTTATGGTTTGGTTAGGCTTCGGCTTAGGGTTAGCTTAGGTTTAGACTTAGGCTTAGGCTTAGCTTTGGGTTTAGGCTTAGGCTTCGGCTTAGGCCTAGGTTTGGGCTTATGCTTGGCTTAGGCTTCGGTTTCAGCTTAGGCTTGGCTTTAGGTTTCGGCCTGACTTAGGCTTAGGGTTAAGCTTGGGCTTAGGCTTAGGCTTAGGCTTAGCTTTGGGCTTAGGTTTAGGCTTAGGATTAGGCTTAGGCTCAGGCTTAACTTGCAACCAGGCTTGGGCTTATGAGCAACCGGAAAGCCGGCGATCTATTTTTCACCCAAAAAATCTTTTGTGTTTTTCTCTCCATTTTTCGTTGTTCTTAGGAGCATTACTTAAGCTTATGCCAGACTTACGAATTTCCGGTGAATTGGCGTATATTTTTAATTTATTTAAATTTCAGGCCAATTCTCGGGTTCTCGAGTACTAAGCTACAACTCGGAGGGCTAGTTATCCGGCAGTTATCCGTTTAGTGAGTGGGTTGGGGGTAGAGGGGGAGTCCCTTCAATGGTTTTGAGGACTAGAGGGGGTGGGATTTAGGCTTTAGCGTGGAGGGGAGGGGACCATGGGTAGAGGAGGGGCATTGTGTCCCTCATTTGCCCCCCCATCCCTCTATCGTCAATCGGGGTTCCCCCGACATTTAAATTTTATTTCTAAATATTTAGTAAAATCGAAATTTTACCTTCCCGTTTTCTTTAACGAAATTCCCGCTAAATTTGGCAACATTTAGACGTGAAAGCCGAATTTAAATTTATTTCAGAAATTACCAATTTTTTTGGTGAAAATTTGGGCTAGTTTTGGTATTTTATATATCTAAATGCAAATACCGTAAATTTTCCGTTTAGCCTAGTTATTTATAATGATTTTTGTGAAAATCTAGCTATTTCCAGTATTTTAGTGTATTTCCAAATACTGTGATTTTTAAGCGACTTTTTCGTTTTTACAACAAATTTAGACGTCTCAAGAATTTATCTAAAAATTCAAAATAAGTTTCAAAGTTTTGAAATTTTATCGAATTTTTAGCACGTTTTGCATGAGTAAAAATGGTTAGTGAGCTCATTTCCTAAATTAATTTATTTGGTTTTCAATATCTTCAATAACATTTTTATAGTTTTTGTTTTTTAGCCTTTTAAACATTTTTAGCTAGATTTTTCGCAGCGAAATGGAGCGATGAAAGGGCACTTTATAACTCAATACCTCTTTCGTCTGATCCTGCCGCTTGCCATCTACCGTGGCATCGCCGCCGAGCCGTGCCGTCGCTTCTCGGCCTCGAATCGGCCTTCTCTAGAATGTATTTCGACCTCATTAACATCTCTCCCGCCCGTACCGGCAGATGTCATTCGCGTGCACCTATTCAACAACTCGATACCGTACATTGAGAGGTAAGCTGTTGATTGATAGACGAGGATAGCCGACCCCTTTCGCGGCTCTAAAAGCATTCTTTAATGCCCGGAGAAATTCAGCGTAGGCCTAGCATTTCCACCATTGAAGTTATCCATGGAATCCACCTGTGGTGGTGCCCCAAAACGGCGCCGACCGCTCACTAAAATATTCAGCAGCCGGCACCATTCAACCCAGCCCTCCACCATGGGAATCCGGCCCCGCGCGCCTATTTTCGGGGCTATCGGGGAGGAGTTTAAAAGGCTTGAAAAGCCAAAATAATTTGCGATTTATGGACTTGGGGTATGCTAAACGCTTCAAAAAAGAGGGGTTAGGCTTAGGCTTTGACTGAAACCCACCAATTTTAGGAAGAACCGATTAATGAAACAAATTTCACCCAAATTTCCCCACTTTTCCAGCTTCCCCGGCACCTACGACCCGATCCAGGAGCTGTCCCTACAGTACTGCCAGATCGAGCGCTTCGCGGCGAGCGCCTTCTCGAGTCTGACCGCCCTGCAAAAGCTCGACCTCTCCCACAACTCGATTGCCAGCTTCGTAATTCAGAAAGGTATCGGAAATATATCTCTCCCTCCCTCTCTCTCTGTCTCTGTCTCTCTTTCTCTTTCGCGCGCACTCTTCGATTTTCTAGGGCTCCGCGGCGTCACCTGGCTGAGCCTGGCGCACAATGGGCTTCGCTTCGTGCCCGATCTATCCGCGATGACGTCGCTGAAATATTTGGATCTGTCTTATAATGCTCTCTACAGGTGGGTAGAAGCTTCAGAGCTTTTTAAAAACCCAAAAAATCCCTAAATGATCATCTTCTAAAACCCTCCAAATTGAGAAAATATATTGGAATTTGTCAAAAGTAGCTTTTTGGCGCTTTTTGGTGCCTTTGAGGCTTCCGAGGCCCTTTAAAAGTATGGATTTTGTGGGAGAAACATACGGATGCCCCCTCGGACACATCCCCCAAATTAATAACGGCAAATGGAATTATCGTATCCGGGAATGGTGTCTATATATTGCAGGGTGAACCCTCGGTCTCTTCCCATCCAATTGAATTTCCTCTCGCTCGCCCATAATCGCATCGTGCTCCTCCAGCCATGGACCCATCTCACCCAGCTACAGGTTCGTTTTTTCCGGGGAATGACCGTTAAACATCGGGAATTGTAAATGTAATGTAATAAACTAATGGTGCTCAAAAAGACAAAAAAGCAAATATGCCGAAATTCGGGACTTTGGCATTATCGGGGGGGGGGGCTGATTCTTTTAATTTAAATGGAGAGGTGTTTGTAAAATGGTTTTTCTTTTTTCCAAACGTACAAAACGTTACAAAATTTTATTTAAAA